CTTTGCCTCAATTCAACCATCTTCGTATCTCTCATAGTTTCCGAGATCCCAATGGTCAGGATCGAATTTGAAACACCCTGTATAAGAATAGAAATAAATAAATTATAGTTATAAACTCTTACTCTATTCAACTGAATTGATCTGAATTCTGAATAACAAAAATAGTAAAAACTTAACTTCACTTGGTAAATATATGGAATCAAAAATAATATCGCACAAATAAAGTTTGTGAAATAAATTCTAGGCAATTTTTCGGCTCCGTTAAACCAGCAGAATCACTTTAAATTTTCATATTTATTTTCGGGCCATAATTTTAGGCTATTTTTCGGCTAATTTTGTACTCTAGTCCAGAATGTTTTGCTCTTGATTTAAAGAAAATTCGCGAGTTCTACTAGCTCAATGTTATTGAATATTTTCTGTCCTTCCTTTGAATTAAATATTTTGGTGATAAACTCAGACAAGAGCGATAAAAGCCAGGTATAATGTTTCGCAAATACTATTCAACTATGGATGAGAAAAATATATATTTAGAATTTTGGCTCATTAAAGGCTCCTATGACCACTCGTCGTCGACTATCGATGTGTTGTTCAAAAAAAATAGTTCTGCTCGAAATCCTTCACTTTTTGGAAAATTTCAACTTGCAATAATTTTGAGCTTATGATAGGTTTTCCATTACGCTACTGAACAATTTGTTGGTACTCGTTTGAATTGAATTTTTGGGAGACACACACACACACGGTAGATGGGGTAAAAATTGTTTGAAAATATTCCTTTAAATGTGGGAGAGATAGACTTTTCAAGTGTGTCTGAGTTATTTACTCAAATATTCAATTCAAAAAAAGGGTGCATAAAATGTTCAATATCGAGATGAAACAGACTAAAATTATTGTAAGTCAAAACTTTCCGAAAAGTGAAATTTCGCATGTCCAATTGTTTTGCAAAAAAGTTTGCTTTCCCCGCTAGCAGAGGTCCATTGCTTTCTCGTGTAGCAGAGGTCCATTAACGGATATTCCCCGGTCACGTTGAAGCTTGAACCATTGTAACAATTTCTTATCCAACTTCCATGCATTTCAAAACATTGACGTTAAACAGCGGCTCGATCTTTATTCTTCTTAATTGTGTATATTGTATAATGAGATACGCCAAACTCCTTTGTATTTCATTCACCGGCTTCTAATCGGTGTAATATTGCATTTTCTTTTTCAATTGTATTTGTGATCATCTTCAAGGAAAAGATCAATATTCCTTTTGAAGATGATCACTTGGTGATCGAAACACGTGTCGAGGTGTTAAAATAACGGTTTGGTGTTGGGAAAAAACTCTAGTAATATTCAATATATCCAATGATTGGGATTTCTAAATAATGATCCTAAAACCTTAATGGGGAAGATCTACTTATATACCGTCAACCAATAATGAAATTTGATACCTGCAAAATCGAAACCCACACCACTATCACTATATAGTATAAAACAATGTCGCTTCCCGCTGTCTATCCCAATGTAGGCTTAGATCTTTAAAATAATCAACGAATTTTGATGCGGGTTTTTTATTAGATAGAATGTATATGACATGCATAATGTAGTAGATAATATAGTTGCAAACGCTGGCTGAACCCTACGAGATAGATAGCTAGATATTGTACACCTTAAAAAGGTCTACAGAAAAAAACGATGGTATATTCTATCTCTAAGGGCTAGCCCATAGTGACTATTTTTTATCCTCAAGAAATAATGGCTTATTTACGAAGCGATTTTAAGCAATACAGCATTTATTTGCATCCAATTAAGTACCTTAAATACATTGTGCATTCAATATAGATCAATATGACCCTTTACAGCATATAATCCAAATGAATATTTTCGAAGATATTACAGATTTAAAATGCAGCAGGAACATAGCGGTTGCGACAGTACCGGAGTACCGGCCAAGGGGCTGGCTGGCGGCCCGTGAATATAAATAGCGCGTCTAAGGTCGCGGTTCGACCTATAGCACTTTATGATTAACAGGGATCGCACGGGTTTATATGTATATTTAGTATCAGCATTGCACCCGTGCAGAGCCGGGGTGGTTCGGTAGTTTACAATAAAAAGGTATGATTGTTATTGCCAATAGTTAACTACAGCTGCCCGAAGTAACCTTCTGGGGTATCACGATATCTGCTACCGGCCTCCAGAAGTTCCCTACGGTTCCTGAGCCTAAAATAACCACAAATACGGAATGATTCCCTCCCTAACATCACTAATTCGCGAGACCCGTGTTTAACTNCGCTGGTTTTTTTTTTCCATTCTCCACTCAATCCTTAGGATTAGTAATGTGGAGTACACTCCACATCCTGAGCCTCCTTTGGTTTTTGACCCGTCTGTATATATGCGTATTGAATTTGTAGCATCTGACTTTATGTTCTGTTTTATTTGTATTTTGTAGGGTTAATTAAACACAAACCTGGGTACAATTGCATCACTGGTTGCCTGCAGCAGAGGTTGCGCAGTGTACGCTTCTCGCCATAGGCTCAGCCTCAATTGACCCATTCCTACTTCGAGGTTTACACCAGCCGTGTGCAATCGTAACATGACCATCAACACAACCTTCTTAACGTACAGGTCCAGAAGGGACAGACCAGTAATTAATTCCATTGCCGCGGTTGGTGTTATTCTCATGACTCCTGTGATGTTTAAACAAGCCAATCGTTGTATTTGATATAATTTTTAAATGGCCGTTGCTTGTAGAACATTCGGGGGGGATCAATCCCCCTTGATCCCCCCCTGGCCACGGCCTTGCCTCATGGCAGGTAGTTTTGGGAAGACAGCTTAATATCCTTTTTATCAAAATCAAATCGCCTTTGCATTCTCCTCATAGAATTTTGTGTTCTTTCGATGATCTTAGTGATGCAACGAATTCTTTTGTTGCATCACTAAGATCACACAACCAAATATATCGAAAATATTTCAGAGCTGGCCTATATCTCCAACTCATTCAATTTGCCAATTTGTATTGGGAATTTATTGTTCTACTTCTTGTACACAAATAAACTGTTTTCTGAAAGGTACAAAAATCAATCTACTTTTACTTTACTTCATAGCAATTAATTAAACAAGTTTCCCTCTACTGATTCTAAAAAAGAAATTCGGTGCATATATAAAGAGTAATATTAAGGAATACAACAAGTAACATATTTCGGTTTTTTTAATAAAATAAAATTCTCTTTCGATATAATATTGTCTATTAATCCTATCATGATAATCCATGTCAAAGTTATTGTCTTTGACCATCGAAATATTGTTTTATTATTGCAATAAAAGAGAGGAAGGTGTGTAAGGAAAATTGTTCAAAAAATTTAAATCGATTTTCTCCTCACCACGACCTGTAGAGCTGATATTACAAAAGTAGTTTTATGATAATCATAAATTTCAATACATTTTTCTGACCTGATTTCAGATACCAAATTTTATTTTTTCAGATGAAATCAAAACTCTACTAGCCAAAGAAGGTGTCTGTGAACTTCTATTTGAACTTATAGAGAAGTATAGGCATCATGTTAACGATGAAGATAGCAGATCCCTCTTGAAAATGGCTTGTGACCTCATTGTGGTTATACTAACTGGAGGTAAATATACTGTAAATTTATTTTTCCATTTAATTCTAATTATGTTTGATTCGACATTGGAGATTGTGGAGATGTTATTTGATTCCTTTAACTCGAGGTCATGTAACTAAAACCACAGAGTGCATTTGGCTTACATTAATGACTCTGTACGTGTACTGTTGTATGTATGTTGTCCATCCGTACACTTGGCTACACCATAAGTATTGATGAAGTCTAATAAACCAGAAACGCATATCTTTGGTTTATCAATTAATCATTTTATGTTATTATTTATATTCCAGACTTTCATAGCCTAACCATTGGTTCTGACTTCATCATAAAACTATGTACGGAAATGAATATCTTACAATAATGATTGATACCCACCAGAAATCAAATAAGTAGATATATAAATTTTGTCGTAAGTAAAATTCAACATCTGCTATTCAAATTTGAAGTCCGGAAACACATACACATAGTTCATCAATTGAAAACACTATACTTTTCCCTAGTGGAATCTCATATTATGCATGACAAAAGTTTCCTATTTTGGGGAAATACAATAATCTCTTTTCATATCGAGAATATTAGTAGTAGCAGAGGAACTTTCCATATTGTTTCATATTTGGTATAATCTGATATAAATCAATTTGCAATGCGACGTTTCGTTCATTAGATTTCATCAAGTTTATTTCTTTAAATACGGACCTCTAGTCTTTTTCATCAATTTTTGTTGCCACTGTAATAAAAAATACAGTTATGTATTGTAATACAAACTACAATACATGTGTTTCCAAACATTTGTGTCCGAAAAAGCATCATCAATATTTTTGTAGTCTCAAAAAGGTAGAAACCAATATCTTAGGACTCTAAGATACATCAACTCCACATATCTTTTGAAAATTTGCGAGAAGAGAGGAACGCTAATGTATTTCTGGGGTTTGGTAAAAATATGGAAGAACTGTTCAATTTTTATGGAACTAAAATCTTTGTTTCTGATGTTTTCTGAAAAGAAAAGTAATGGAGAAAAAATTTATGAGGACACTAAAGTGAATTGATTTGTTTAATGTGAGCGATTAGTAGAATATGTATAAGAAAACGAAATATAAAAAGTCCCCTTTGTATAACGCCATAAATCTGAATAATACATCACCAAAAGAGAGCAAACAAATTACCTCTAATAAAGTGTTTCGTGGTGAAGTAAAACAATTGCTGCTGCAAAAATGTTACTATATTTGTGATGAATTCCTGGATGATGATTTCCGATGAGCACTGATTTTGCTTATTTTTTTCTCTTACTGTATTTAGTCTTATCTTCGACGCTTGTTCCATATTTTTACTAATCAATTCAAAAAAATCACTCTATACAAAAATAACCTTTCGAAACAACTACTTTCATATAAACTTTGAATCACATGAAAGAAAAATACTTTCAAAACAAATACTTCCATATGAAAACTGCATTATAAAAAAACACTTTTCTCTATTCAGTTTGTATTCGAAACATTCGATATGTCATCCACACTGGTGGACATCTGATGATTCGTCTTAAGACACTTGCCTTATCGTCTCTTCAGCACCAAATCTGGATAACGTTATAAGATGAAGCACTCAATTCATTTCATAAAATCACAACTTGAATTTCCCGAAAACTAGTCCCTCCTAAAAATATACCCCTTTAAATTCAAACATATTGGCTATATTGACATATTGAAAGGAACAATGTGGAAGGCTTTGCATGGCTATAATAGTATAAATGCTGGAAAATTACCATGAAAATGGTATGGCAAGAGCCATAGTGAATAAGGAACGATGGACGACAATTTGAACATTTAATGATATATATCGTGAATGACGTAGATGGTTACCAGTATTTTGACATTATATTTTTTCTCTTTGTAACTTAGTATATTACATGTTTTTCCACTATGTGGAGTTTATGTACAACTTTGAGTTCTAGACTCGAAAAATATTGACCCCTACTTTCTTGAGGTAGCTCTGACCGGGAATTGTATGACCATACAGTGATGATGAGAAACGTTGGGAAACACATTTATTGTAATACATAGCTATTTTTTTCTTACAGTGACTACAAAAATTGAAGAAAAAATCTATAGGTCCATATATTAAAAAAAAGTTGATAATGAAATATAACAAATATGAAACAGTATTGAAAGTTCCTCTTCCTTTTTTATATCATTTAAAATGGAGGTGGTTACAGCGAATAAACAAAAGTCGACAATTATAGTTTTTGGTAAATATTTCAAAAACAAACACTGATATTCTTGATCTGAAAAGAGATTATTCTAGTTCACCACAATAGAAAACTTTTATCCGATTCAACCGACCTTGAAAATGATGATAAGATAATCCATGATGATGAAAATTATTTCATCATCATGAAGGTGGAAGGTGGAGGATTGGAAATTGTATAGAAAAAATAAATGAAAAAAGTATCTATAAGAAGGATCTAACCCATTCATCTGATGCTATATACAGATAATCAGAAATAATGAATCCACAACTTTTTTTCTTTTACTGCAAAAAATATTCATCTTGAAAGAAACGAACAAATGAAACATACGTATCCCCTTTCATGAATAAATATATATGCGCAAAAAGAGTTTCATGTACCTGAGTCCTAATTGTACAATTTTGTACCATCAATAAAAAACAATCTGAAAAAAAACTTATAATGACGCAATTGACAGAAGTAATTCATGAGTTCTGATACTCGAGTATCATTCATCTTCCGTTATTACTATATGAAGTAAATTAAATAATCAAACCAAATACTGAACTAGCAGAACTAACAAAAGATGAATTCAACCAAACGCCCACATATAATAATAGTAATAATACGTTTATTATTTACCACAAATCCACAAGCAATATTAAGTTTCAATTACAAAAAAAACTAGGTAAATAAAAGGCGAGTATTCAGTTTTCTTTCAACACCAGGAAAAGAGAAACTGGTCTTCCACTCAGACCCTTACTACAAACTAAACTCAAAACTAAAATATACTTACTGACTAGTACCAGTTAACAAGAAGACGACAGAAAAGCAAGAAAAAAATATATAAAAGAGGGAGAGAGAGAAGATAGGAACCCTTTTTATAATTTATTTTCACTTGTGAGGGCAGTGATTTCTTTAGGTCATGAAACCGCTAGGTTGCATGACGACGCTGTAAGAATTTTATTTTTTGCTCTGACTTGAGAGATGTTTTCAATTATTCTTCATTTTTGTAGTTCACGCAAACATACAGTAATGGGTTTTTTCAAAGAGAAACACGACCTACTGTAGTCGGGTATCTTGTACATATTCATGTAACAAGCAATATAATATGAAAAACTACGTTTAAAAATTTCCTTTCTATGTCGAGGAATGGTGATAAAAAAGTTTGTCGAGTATTTCTATCATGTATGTCTTTTCTATATATGACTTTATCATGGAGACAGTTGGGTTGCTTGTATTTCAAAAGTTTGTAGAAGTAGCAAAGGATATGTAGTTTACGCCTGCTGGACATATTGAGCCATTCAATTTCATTAATTTTATGGGAAATTCTCTGCCTGCTTTTTATGCCCAAAATAAGTCTCAAACAGCAGTTCTTGATTTTCTGAATACGCTGACTATCCAAGCCATCTAAACATGGCCCATATACAATATCACAATAGTTGAATTGGGAAAGCAATAATGAATCACACAGCACTTTTTGTTACATCTTGACCTAAATAGTGTCTATGTGGGTAAATAAATCATCTTCAAGCTAGTATAACCTCTTTTTAACATAATATTAACCTGTTCTTTGAATCTCAATTTTTTTTGCACTGTCACTAAAAGGTATTGTGTCATTTCCCATCCTCAGTATAAGATTATAAGATATATCATTCCTGACATTGTCATTACAGAACAAAATAGCACATAACTTTTGAGGATTTATTTTGAGTAGATGTTTATCACATATGTCTTTTAAAGATTGTAAGTCGATATTTATTTCTCTGATAGTTTGCATGACATTATCGGGTTCAAAGGTTTTATATATCTATGTGCCATCAGCATACATGTGGTAGTTACAGTGCTGCAGAGCCTCATGAAATGTTGCACTAAATAAGGTGAACAGAAGAGGACCCGAAATACTACCCTGAGGAACACCGCATGATACATGAGCAAAATTAGAAGTTTTATCATTCAGAGTAACACGTTGAAGTCTATTTGATAAATATGAAGTAATAAGTTTGCAAGCATTTTGGTCAAACTTTAAGTATTGAAGTTTAGATAGGAGAATTCTGTGGTTTATCAATTCAAATGCTTTTGAAAAGTCCAGCTGCTTTATTTTCATCAATACCTTTTATAATGTTATCCGTTATATTTGCAAGTGCACTCACACAACTATAACCAGGTCTGAACCTCGATTGCTTTTGAGGTAGAATTTTAGACTGTTCAATAAAGATTCGTATTTGTATTTCCATAATTTTTTTCTAGAACTTTGGACAAAGTAGAAAGAATACTGATTGATCTGAGGTGATTGAAGTTTTTTGGTTGGTTCACCAACGTGTTGACGTGTTCAATACAAAAAGTATCATTCAATTCCTCTATCGAGCTTATTGTAGATCCAAAATGTAGTAGAAGGGAAATGTCAGTAGTTGAAAAAATAAAATATAGCCATTTGTACTTGTAATGCACTGTTTGGAACTTTTGTTGTAGTAATGAATAGGTAGGTAGGTAGGCAGGTCTGAAGAGAGTGGGTCTATTCGACCCTCCACCGCAACCCACAAGGGTTTATTGTGGCTCACACCTATTCACACTCGGCCAAATAAACCCAGCTTCTTAACGAAGCCGATTAGTTTGTATGGTGAGTGGTCTTTCAGGTCAGATGGTGAGAGTACGGATCTGCCGAACTCAAAGAACCTGATTCGGCCTCCAGTGGGGCAGGCACAAAGTATATGCTCTGCTGTTTCATTATTTTCCAGACAGAGGTGACACACACTGTCTTCCGACAGTCCATGTCTTCGCATATGATGATTCAAATGTAAGAAGGCCTGTAAGAAGGCCTGTTAGACATCGTAATTCATCCCTACTGTAGTCCAACAACTTTTTGGAATAAAGCTTCGAAGGGTGAATAAACGCCTTGAAGTGAACCTATCCTGGAAGATTCTGTCAGAAGTCCATAAATCTTCTTGACATGCAGGTGTTCAGTGTTTGTTTGGCAAAGCCCAAGGCGATGCCAATGACAGGTTCTGGTCCAATGAAGCCGCTTGCAGCACCCTCCTTTGCAAGAGGCTCAGCAGCTTCATTGCCTTCCAGGCCAGTATGGCCAGGAATCCAGATCAGAGACAATCTGTTAAGTCTTCCTATCGAGGTGAGTCGTTTTTGGCAGTGTGCTACCAATTTAGACGTTGCTCGGTAGGATCCAAGAGCTTCCAGCTCCGCTTGACTGTCCGAGAATATTTTTATTGACTTGTGTGTGAGGTTGGATTTATCCAATCTCTCCGCACACAATTCAATAGCGTAAATTTCCGCTTGAAATACAGTCGCATAAGTTCCTTGGCAGGTAGATAACTATGGGATTTGAGTAAAGTCTTCCGCTGGGTCAACCACATAATCCTTATCAGTAAACTTGAAGTTTATGGAATAAGAAGTACAGCCTTGAACTTATTCAACTTATACTTAACCAGAAGGAAACAAGCTATCCGCACAAACGGGGTATTATCTCAGAGGTCAACCCGTGGACCTATCCTTTTTTTAATATAAGTGAATGCTATTTTCCAATGCCTACTACCTAGCACAATCATCTGTTTTGCAGATAATACAAAAATGATTCACTCTAACTCGTTTTTACACTTGTTTGTTCACTACAATGTCCAATCCTCAATTTAATTGAAATAATGGCAAATTCATTTCCAGTACATTTTCAGTGTTTTAAAGAAACATGGTTGAAAAATTAATTCCTTCAATCAGTCGGTGTTTGTTATTATAATTCAATATTTAATCATTGTAGAGGGCAACATCTACATGGAGGGCCTGTTATCCTTGTTCACAAATATGTAGAAAGTAAATGCAAAGAAATAAAACGTATTAAATCCTTGTCCATTGGACAATGCATAAGGTGCTGAAAACATATATGACATTAAAACTTGTACTATTACAATTTACAGGCCACCATTCGGTGATTTCTCGAAAATTCTGCAATATGTAAGTTAGTTATCATTTGAAGGTGTAATTCTATGTAGAGATTTTAATACAAACAAATATATGAAAAAGGGAGATCTGAAAGAATCAAATGATTTGATAAAATTATGAAATTCAAAATCACTAATCAATGAATTAGATAAGGGACAAACAAGTGTTGCAGCTCTCGATCACATTGTTTCAGATATGGAGGGTGGAATTAAAGCAAAATAGTTAGGGTTTTCTGATCATTTAGCACAAGTTGTTACTTGGTCCATGTCAGAAACTTCGGGAACAAGGCCAAGTAATCATCAAATTTAGAACTTCGTAAATGATAAGAATTCAGGAAAGAATTCATTGAAAGTATTCAAGACTTCATATATAAAGAAAATGTTTTCCACATTTTGGATGTACTTAGCTATTGCTTCGAAATATCTCTTCCAAAAGTGCAATAAGTTAAAAACAGTTCCTAAAGAAATAAATGTATATATTTCATATGAACTGGTTCGGGAAGTTTTCTGGTGAGTCATCCATTCAAAAATATAAATAGGAAAAGAAAAATTCGGAACTGAAATTGACAAATACATTAAAAAATATTTGGAATATGTAATTAATAAGATTAATAGGAGCAAAAACAATCCTAAACCAACTACTTTGAATACAGAAAAGAAAATGGTATCATCCTGCTAGTTTTAACTTGTTTGGAACAAACTTTGCAAACCCTGTTGTGAAAACATTGAAAAAATTCTGCAGTTCAAGCAGCTAAAAATATGTTTAAAATGTGTTTTTCCGTTAACCAGCTGTCGCACCCCTACGAATGACAACCCTCACAAGTCGCCACTTGTGCGTGCTATGAACTAACACACCAGCGACTGACACATCGGTCGATTGAGAGTGAACACAGCTCCCACGTCGAACCGCCCTACTACCGACCTACCAAAATAGTAGTAGGTATAAAATTAGTCAATCCTGTCACAATGTTTTTTCATCCCTATAGTGAGCATGAAGTTGTCAGCATTATCTATAATGTCAAAAACTAGACACAAATAAACACTGAATTACATGAAAGAAAGAGTCCTTTTGAAACAACCAAGACTTTAATATGATCATAGAATTATACAAAAACACATTTTTTTATTCGGTTTATATTTCAAATATTGATTATTCAAGATTTCCAAAACTGCAACACATGTTAATATGAAAACGCTTGATAAAGCTATTGTATAGAGAAACACGTGTTACGGTTTTGTGGAAATGTCACAATAAAGTGTTTCTTGAATACGTTATGGATTTTCATCAAGTATCGGCCAATTTCATCACATATCTTCAAATATTTGTTGTGGAATTGAATCGTATATCATTCAGAAGGAATTCTACACAGTATAGTATATCAAAGAGAAAATTTCACTTACATGGAACACTGTCAAAGATTACATATATGTTTTAGCACCTCACCCCGCCCAAATAATAAACCTATCACTTCTCACAGAAAAATGTCGAGACCAATCAAAAGTTTCAGAAACAATACCGTTTTTTTAAAAAAGGAGATGAGCAGTTGATTGAAAACTGTAGAGCAATTACACTGGTCATGCCCATTTACGAAGTAATTGAAAAAGCTATGTACGATAGGTTCATTTAATTTCTAGATGAATACAAAATTTTGCAAAACTATCAACACTTGTACAGTTCACATAGTGTGTAGGTATGTGAAAATCTTGAGCAGAATTATTTTGTATTACGAATGTTTTTTAACTCATCACATCCAGTCAATACCGTGAATTCACAGATGTTTATCAAAAAAAGTCGACTTTTTAAGAAAGTAAATCTATGTAAAAGTGAGAGGAGAAAATGAATATTCATGTATGTTTTTTAATGTTGATATTTTTATTATTATCTACTTTTTACTTTCTTAATATTCTCTTCACTTGCTGAATTGTAACACGTTTATCTATTGATCATATCAACTTCAGCGATTTTAATGTTCCTTGTATATGTATTCATGTAGAATGTAGACTATCAAATATGACATCTGAATATTCCATTCTTCCAATTGAGGCATTCTTCGAAAGTGAATTTATTGGGTTCTGAAAACGGAAAAGGATAGTTTTTCTGAAATGTTAACCATCTGAAAAAGCTAAATATAAAACTTTTATTTTTTCTATTATTCCATTTGTAGGCAGAATGTATGAAACAAGTTACTGACTAATTGGACTCTTCAGGGATTTTCAAACAATGTTTTTTCAGGGTGAATTTTTCACTCAAGCAGATTCTCTATTGATTTACCTTTGTTTGATTTCGAGATTGTGGAAGGATACAATTACAAACTTCCTTCTATGACTAAAACAACAACACAAAGATCGTTTTCTTACCTTGCACCAAAATGCTATAATCAAATTCCGGAAGAGATTAAATCTCTGAAGAGCACTAATATGTTCAAAAAACGACTGAAATGCTTCATAAATAGCAACCCGAGAAATGTGATAAGCGAATTGTTAGATAAATAATACTCACAGTCGGTCTGAGTTTACCTAAATCATGCCTCCTACTTTTTGTACTTGTTTGTTATATTCAGTATATGAGATCTAAATGATAATTTATTATCAAAAGTAACATTAAGGTCTGATATTTCTCGAGTTCTGTTAAATTTTATACCGTTCATCTCGTAGCTGTATGTTATACTGACTTTTTTTCGGGAAAAGGTCATAGTATTATTACACGTTTGAAGTTCATTTATTCTCATGAACTATGTGCTATATTACTTTTATCATATCTTTCAGACGATTGCATGCACATGTTGTACAATAAGGGACAAGGAAAAGTGTATAAAAATATGATAGTCTGGTTAGATAGTGATGACTCCGACTTATTGAGCACCGGAGTTCTTGCCATTGGAAATTTTGCTCGAAAAGATCTTCACTGTATCCAAATGGTCGAAGAAGGGATCTCTAAAAAACTCATGGGTGAGTTTCTATGAAATTTTTAAATGTAGTTGTTAGTAATATTGGTTTTTTTTCAGACATTCTTTCAAAATACAATACCAGCACTGACATTGCTGATGTAAAGATTCAACATGCTTTACTCAGTTCTTTAAAAAATCTAGTCATACCAGCACAAAATAAAGCAAAAATTTTGAAGGATGGGTTAATTGAAGTCCTTTATCCCATGTTGAAACTCGATCAATATTTAGTCGTTTTCAAACTTCTGGGAACATTTAGAATGGTGATAGATGGACAAGGTAAGAGGATCGAGAAATTCATAAAATTTGTTTTTTGTCAAAATGTAATTACCAAACTCCTTCATTTCAAAAGAAATAAAAAGTTTGTGATGCATGAAAATGAATTATGTTCGGTAATACCAAGAATTCTTTTTTATATTGTGCTTTTTTATTGATTTTTTCTAGAATCTGCAGCTTTGGACCTTTTATCAAGGGTGGATTTTATCGAAAGACTAATCCACTGGTGTTACAATTCAGACCATCTTGGAGTCAGGGGAGAAGTTCCAAGACTTCTTGCATGGCTCATTAAACACTGTCATTCTTTCAAACCCTTTTCAGGATTTCTTGGTGTTAAGGATAGTGTCAAATGTATAATTGAAATGATATCTTCAAATCATGCAGTAATGCAAAACGAGGCATTGTATGCCTTGAATTTATTGTGTACAGGATGTTCTAGTTCCATTTCTAGTCACAATGGGGATTTGAACAAGGTTAATTTGGAAGAAAAACTGACAAATGTAATAATCGACGGAGATATTGGTAAAAATATATCCTTTGTGCTTACCAAATATGGTGATAAAATGGATAGATCCACCATTGACAACTTATTGTCATTATTAGAACAAATTGTGAAATCACAGGCTGTTTGTGATCATTTAAGCCTAACAAAAGTTCGAGAACCTCTTTCTAAATTATACACCAACCCAAACACTGTGCAAAACATCACGGAAAAAATAAATAAAATCACTTCTAGAATAACTGAATGAATTTTAAAAATCATTATTCGAATTTTATGAATATGTCTGCCAGTTACTAGAATGTTACTTTTACTATTTATTGCTGTCTATTCATATCTTTCAGATATCTACCTGGTGATAATAGAATTTGTCTTGAAATGATGTAGCTCATTGACTCATAATCTCCATAATAGAATATTTATTGGTTCACACATACGCGGATTTGTGTGTCTTTAGGTGAATGTGAGAGGTGAGAGAGATAAAAGAAGAAATGAATATTTCCCAATGGCATTGGGTCCCATCCTAATTGAATGTTGCTGATCAAGCTACTAAAGAACTGACTAACATTGATTTCAGAAGGGAGAGTTCGTGGTTGAATAGGCCCAGTGGGGCAGAGTAGGTCAATATGTGTATTCCATGTGAGTTTGTGATCTAAAGTGAGACCAAGTATTTTTATTATTAGACAAGATATAACCTCCAGATCATTATATTCAAATATACTGAGAGAGTCATTCATTGGATGTAAGACTATTTCATTAATACTGTATTGTTAACGTTAAGTGATAGATGATTTTTAGTAGCCCATGTAATAATTCTCCTGTAAACCGTTTCAGCTATTAGTAGGACTTTTGCACACCCTTTATTCCAATGTGATCAACAGGAGTTGCATTTTGGCTTTTTGAAGTATTAACTTCCGATGATTTTCTTAGAAGAAAGTATAGTATAATATACGAAGTCAATTTAAATGGCATAAAAAAGTAAATTTATCAGACTTGGTACTTAGTCTTTTATTTAGCTATTCGGATTGACTTAATATAGTGTCTGTGTGTAGTCTATACTATAGACTATAGTCTATACTATAGATTATACACAGAATCAAATTTGGCGTCTTGGAATTTTCAAGCAACATACTCTAAGAATGTGTAGTAAAAATATCATTAGTGATAGGTGAATTTCACTATAATTATCGAAAGCATGTTGCTTGGTTACTTGAGGCAGCATTCTCGACAGAATTGTTATAAAATTATGAGTATTTATCGAAAATGCTTAGCAAATTAATATTCAAGAAAATGTCCTGTCATCCTTTAAATGAAAAACATATTCATAGGTCCTACTTTAATTCTCCCTACTTTCTGAAGTAAAAAGTAAGGATTCATTTAAGGTGTGACTATGACAAAATTCTGAATTGTCAAACACTTGATATTTGATGATAAACTTCAATTTGAATTATCTCTATTACAACATTATCGGTGTAATGTTGACATCATTGGTTCACATATTCATGGATACTTATTGTGACATTTTCAAAAAATTGTTTACAAAACCACAACACGTGAAATGAAATAGCTTCTTTAGACTAAATTAGTATTAAACATTTTGAACATTCCTCAATAAAGTGTTATTAAATACATTCATTATGGATTTTCATCAACTATCTGCCAATTCCAATTGCATATTTCATTGGTTCATTTTGCCAATTGAAATGAAAATGCCAAAGAATTTTTTTATTCTTAACACTGTCATAGTGAAGTACGAATTAAACCAAATGAAAAATACAAAACATTACAAAAAAACAATAGATATAAATCATACCAACTAAATATTCACAACAGAAATTAACTTCTATATAAATGTACATCGTCTCACAAATGAAGGAGAGGCTCTGCTACCAAGTATCTGCAAGATGTCAAGTATATTTCATAATCCTATCGTAGTTGTATGATGCCTCAAAGTCAAAAATTTCGTGGAACTTTGGTGGTCATTTTGGTAAGAAGCGACAAAAATACAGCATGAAATGAAAGACTCCGATTGGAAATGCAGAAAGAATAGAAAAAGAAGTAAGTTCTGAACGAATAATTTTTTTTATGGAAATCAGAGTTTTATATTAGAGCGTGGTTGAATCTATCGGAAAATATAATGAACTGATTCAACTTTAAATTTTCATAAACAAATATTTTTTTTGTAACTATATTCATTTCATTCATCATATTATTTCCAACACCCCCACTATGTGATGTAATTCAATTGTTTCAGCCCCACTCTGCTAAAGTCGACTGTTCGACAAAATAATGTAGATTTATCGGTTGTGCCGAAAAATATTTCTTGATGTAGGTTTTTCAAAAATACGGCTTCGTGGGTTGCTTAACTTTGAGCCATATATTCCGTTGTAGATAGGGCATTAGCAGGTCCAGCTCACCGGTCCTCCACATAGCATATAAATATATCCATTGGTGAATTTTCTGTCATTAATATCGCCTCCCCAGTCAGTCACAATATCCGGAAATGTTTTAACTGGATTTTTCAAACACCAGTTTTAATTTGGGTGCGTCCATAAATTACGTGAGGTGTTTACGGGGAGGAGGGGGTCGAGTCAAATCTCATCTAATCTTACGTTGGAGAGAGGGGGGTCCCGGCGAATATCACGCAATTTTTTTTCTGATTGAAACAAAAAAAATTCTACTAGTTTGGTCCATTTAATCCAGATTGTACATGCTTAAGATTTAATCTTAAGCATAATCGTAATACGATTAAGATCATTCACTAATTCGTTCGAAAGAAAATAATTTCATTCATACTTAGACGTTATACATCTACTGACTGTCAAACCACCATATTTGTTTTATACCAAATAGCTCAATTTAATCTGAATTTACGGTACAGTGTAGCCCGTCATATGGACATGTTGGTTCCAATAGTCTCTTGAGACCGCGCATGATTCTCCATGGACTGAATTAGAGTAGATATTCTTTTTTCGATCACAGTAGTTACGATTTAAGTATTCTATTGTTAAATTTTTAATTCACTTATAATTAAACTCTCAGCAATATTGATTACTAGTCTTAACTAGTCGTAAATAAAAGCACGAAGCAATTTTTTTTCTTTTTACAATAACCATCCAACGTGTTTACGTAAGAAACCCACATTTTGAAAAATCTCATGTGAGATTGGGGGATGGGGGAGGGGGTTGAGTAAAATCTCACGACATCTCACCAGGTGGTGAGGGGGGGACAGAAAGTTTTAAAAAATACCTCACGTAATTTATGGACGCCCCTTTTTGACGTTTTCTCAAATGTCGAAAAATGCGTTTGACAGCGCCCAGTGAATCATACTTGGATTTTTACAAAATCTCGCTATTTTTCTACCTGCAAAAGAAATATCTGGTCTTTTGTATTAAGCGGTATACATAAAGCTTCCTATTGTTTCTCGATCTTTGACTATATCTTTTAGTAGACCTGCTTTATTTTCTTTCACTCGGGATGGGGTTTGATTTGCATCCATTGGAGCTGACAAACAGGTTAACCACTCAGAAGCACTAAAATTATTAGGTATAATTATTGTTGAAAAGATTTCAAAGTACCAATAAATCACTAACTTCATATTACTCAGTATTTCACTCCCATTTAATGTATGGAACTCATTTATGGGGAAAATCCTCTCATGCTCAAAATATTTTCTGTATGCAAAAAAACGCACTTTGCTTTGTATATTCATTTTGAACACTTCGCTAGAGATCCATAAAATGAAAAGTATATTCTCCACCCAATCAGACTATCACAATTATTCCACTAGAAATGCAGATAAACTTGGACAACCATTGAATACACTAGAAATGTCTTATGAAATTCACTGAACCCAAAGTTGTATAACCATTTACCAGTTGACTTCACACAGTCCAGCACTCAATCATTCAAGAGGATAGTTAAAGTTAAAACATTCCTTTTGAAAAACTGTTTTTTCAACAGGATTATATAAATAGTACTTACACTGAATGATTTATTCATGAATATTACGTTTTATATATATATTGTTATGTTATGTTCTAAGTCACTACTATTTTATTATATTTAGTGGTTAAGTTCTACCTCAAATGATCATTTATAATTTTGTCTTTTAATTTTGTACTCAGTGCTAGAGTGCATGTGCACTCTTTTTGACCTGTCATAAATGTATTGAATGCATAACATGATTAAATAAATTCTGTTTGACTGTCTATGTTCAGATGATTATATTGAATGGTAAATAATTACCAAAAAATAATTTTTAAACGTTCTTGATAGATATCAAAAAAGTTTTGAAATATGTCAATGTTGTGGATTGGCTTCTAAAACATTCGATGATATCAGTCTTAAAAGGTTCGCCTCCTATCCATATCTCCAAGTTCAAATAATTTTAGGGAGCTGTTTGAAATACACTTTTCTCCAAATATAGGAATATAGGCATAAGTCTTTCAGAATGTGGTTCATTCTGACCTTATTCCATTCAACTACATGTTCACCAACTAATTTCAAAATTGTTTCTGACAATTTTAATCTTCTGTTTATTTATTGTCTATTTCTGATATAATCTCTAGTTCACCCTCACGCACTTTTAATGATCTTGAATATAACTTACACCACAATAACAAGGTGTTACTATAGATCTCAGTGTATTTGTGGTTTTGTATAAAGCTCTAATATTATATCTATTTCCAATTCATCATATTTTCTCAGATAGTCCTGGTATATAAGGTATAACGTTAGTTGTGGAAGGTGTCTGTGATTGTTGAGTCGGTAGTTGATGAGTTGGTGGTTGTTGAATTGATGATGCTGATTGTAGAGTTAATCGGTTTTCAATTAACTATTTATTTTCTACAAACGAATTTGGAAAGAGTTCTCCTTCAGAACATATTTTATCAGTGATATTTCCTTATCAAAATTTTCATCTTTATTGCTACTCAGTTTTGCTGTGTTATAGAGACACCTTATTAACTCTTTTTTTAACACTGGCATGTTTTAATGTGTAATGGAGGTATCTAAAATTAAGTGTTTTTTTTCAAAAAATATTTTTATCAAACCTATATGATGACTTTCTCAACATTGTGTCAAGGAAAAGGAGTTGATCATTTTGTTCAATCTCTATTATGGACTTCATTGTTGATTCTTGTTCACTAAGATAATTTTAAAAAGAATTCAGGTCATTATGACTTTCATTAAAAATAGCAAAGACATTTTCAACATATATCCATTAAACTGTTCTGAATTTATGCAGTAATTTAATGCATTAACTGTAAAAAAACAAATAGTGACAGAGCAAAGCTCTGCGAGTGAGTCATAGAATCTTAATTCAGTTTGTTACAGACGTATTGAATGTGACCACACCAAGTTAAATTTTCATCCAAGGATGTTCTTTAAAAAGTTACATCTTTGGATGAATTAATAAAATTCATTGTGCAATGATCACTGCTTGAAATTTCTCCTAATGAATAATTTAATTGAAATATATCTCCATTCGTGTTATCACGATGAAACAAGCACTGAATTTGCATGCTATTGTTTTTTTTTTTCTGATACAAACATTCATAATTTCCGGACAGTGATTGTGACGTCATTAGAATGGTTATGTGACATTCAGAAAAGATTTCAGATAAGTCATTTATGAAGTTGAATCAAAACCTTTTCTTGTAACTATTAGTAATATTCTTTTGTTATGAACTGAAAAATGAGTCAATCAGGTACATTATCCATACATTTTTTTATTCTGAATAATAGGAGTAAGGCTTTTAGGGTCATGTCCCCTTTTATTCAATTCTGAAATGATACTTATTATATATCTCCATATTACCCTTCATTGATCATTTTATTATATATTTTTTAATCTTGTTGAATCAAGAAAACATTTCTGCCATTCATTAAATGAGCGTAATTTTTCAATTAATAATTCAGATGGGGAAATTAAAAAAAAATATTCACAAAAAGCTGCCTTTCACAAATCAATGTTTTTTATAAAATAGTTCAAGTTTTACCATTTAGTGTTCCTTTTCAAAAATTTGCAACTTAGGTATTACTGAGGGATAAGAGGACTAAATTCCTTTTATCTTTAAAGAAACACTGTATCAACATTTTTTTATTTAAAAGATAAAAGGTAATACTTTGTAAAGTTTGGGATAGAAGTAAGTTTAAATAGAGTATAGTTATTAGTCACATTCCTCTATACCTCATTAGAATTTTTGTTTGTAAGAAGACAGAGTGAAAGAAGAACTTACATGTGTTCACCAGTTCTTCAGTACTCCACGTCAGTGAACTCAAATGCACATTTTTGTAATATTCAGGTAACAGTAAAGTAGAACTTTTTTGAAAAATAGCATTTAGTAAAATATAACCCTTTCAAATCAGCATTTAGTAACTTTTTGAAAAATGTAAAGCTAATCTGAGTGGTACCAGTGAAGTTTTCATTGTTCGAATATGATATTTATTGTTACTTCATATTAGGGCATATTCGCATTTTGAAATATCTGCACTTGCTGAAATCTCCACTCTAGGTAATGAAATTATTGAAAAAATATGAAAATATGTATTTCATATTTTATTTAATATAGGAGCTTTTTGAAATAATATTACACAATATAGAATTATTATATTTTTATTCAACGTGTTTTTGCACATTGTTGTAATGTTTTACTGTTGTATGTTTTCATCTTCACTGCAAGACAACAATAAAATTATTACAAAATATATTTTTGATTCAATAGTTTTCCTTCCATGGAATGCCTATTATGAAATGTTCTATAATTTTATCTACAATTTTAATACCACAAGAAAAATCAAATAGTTCTGAAAATATTATAACGTTCTTTCTCACAGTATGAAATCAAATGATATTAACTTGAAAAGATATTCCGAAAATTCATGATTCACTTCTTTTTAAAGACACAAGAAGATACTACACTTCCCACTTTACCACTAAATTTGAATTGAGGGGTAGGAATAACCGCTAATAAACTGAACTTTTCTCCAAATTGCTGGTCTAGTTCACTTTGAGTCCAATTACATGATGTTATAATAAGGATGCCATTGGAACTAAGACTCTTGTACACGTTCTCTATGTATTTAAGTCTATTTTCCTTGGCATTTTCACTCAGACTAACAGCATCATAAGTACCTTTATCATGTATTACATCGTAAGTATTCTGTAACCCCTCCAAAATATCACAAATGAAATATAATATATTTAAATCTTGTCTTTTTGCAATTTGTTTTGCAAGTGTTACGGCATTTACTGAATAATCCAGACCTGTTAAATTTGTATATCCCTCGTTAGCTAATTCAATTAGAAAAACTCCATTACCACAACCAATATCGACTATTTTGGAGTATTTCCTTATCAAATCTGAAGATTCCATCCAACGAATAATACGATTTAGGATATCCTCGCCAAACCAAATTTCTCCTGGGTCACCATGACTCGAAAAATTCTCAATTTCTTCTTTATAATGGTCTTCCCAATAATCCTGGGTCCCTAATTCTGATGCATCGTGTTCCTCCACCACTGTAAAAATATTTCAATTTTAGATAATTTGTTCAAAAATATTCAAAACATTCAATGGAAATTCAACATAGAAATATTTGGTTGGAGTTTCAATAAAAAACTGAATGGATTTTGTAGTTATCTATTTGGATTCTTCAACAGAAATAGAATCAACTCAGTATTATCTGGAGTTTATTATAACTAAATCCTCAAAAGTAACAACTCGTCTTCTTGAACTAATTGACTGTTTTAAGATATTATGTAAATCTTATATGGTGCTATCCTGATTCACCGAAAACGAGTTCTTAAATTGAACAGAAAAATGTTGATGAATCGCTTCAACCGACTGAAACATGCTAACACATACAAAACGGACTAATAAGTAAATACATCAAATCAATTGGTGAATTCACCAGTGAATTTAAAAACATTCCTGTACAGGTACGTGTCAAATATGAGGTAGATAACAAAAATATTTCAGAGGTGAATCAGAAGTTGTTCAGTGTCCGGTACTTGACCCTGGGGTCTTGAGTTCCAATTCAATTTTGAACAAATATTTTTCTCACGGGAATGAATCAAGCTGAAGGTAAATTGATTCTGCTTTGTTACATAGAAAGTTATTAAAATACTCTACCCAAACACAAGGTTGATGCAGCAATAGTAGTTGATACCAGTGACACCAAAGAAAAAAATCAAAGCCAAATGTTGAATGTTTGGCTAAGATCTTAAATATAAAGAGGAGATCCGCGAAACAAAGTAGAGATCTCGAAAAAAATTTAAAAAAAAAGGGCCCTTTCTCGCCTCAAATATAATATAATGAATATATCAAATTGGCGTACTATGAATCGCACGTTGAAAGGTAAGATACGTTAATCCTTAGCTCGCACAAGTTTGAACTTTTGAGGGTTGTTATTCGTGGGGGGGTTGGTTAACAGAAAAACAGATTGTTAATAGTGCTTTAAGTTGACTGTGAATTCCCATAATACTCCCTAGGTGACTCAGGAAGTTATTAACATAACCTACCCTTCAAACTAGTAAACGACGACATTGACAACAAAAGTTAAAGTAAAGATCGGCAAAGAAAACCATAGCACCAAGTCTATGACTCTATAGAAAAAAGGTTGAGATTTTGAAATTATGAACACCAGCTTAAAGTTGCACTTGATGCTATACCTAACCTTATATAGTTCTAGCTTAATAAAATCTCAGTTTTAAAACTGCAATAAAAACCATTGGATATAAGCATAGGATGAAACTAATGTCATCCTGCAAGCGGGCAGTGCCTAGGTTTTTTTATCTGTTAATTTTCATTTAATCTAATTAATAACTTCACACAATGGTGTGCAGAACAATAAGTATTGAAGAAGATGTTTCTTAATTAATAAGCTCTTAGTATTTAATTTGCATTATTCTTAACTTCTGTTGAGCCAGCAGAACAACTTTCGATTTTTACATTAATTTTCAGGCCATAACTTTAGGCTAATTTTGAACTGTATTCCCGAATTTTTTACAATTCACTTCATTCAATAGAGATATCGTGGGTTCTGCTAGCTTAACGTTAGGCTAGCAGAATCTAATTTGGGTGACTACCTCAGGTACACATGGAAATAGCGGAAATAATATTTTGGAAAAATTCTTCAAGTGTGTAACAGATAGGATGATGTTGATAATTTTAGGCTCATATTCCTACCGATTTTTTATATTTTGCTTATCATAAAATCAGCGCAGAAGGGCCAAAAATTTTATTTTTTGTTTTTTGGAAATTACGACTTTAAAACCCGAAAGTTCAACTTCAAAGCTGGAAGAACCAAATCGAATTAGAATTTTTTTTATTTTCATGAGCCTAGAAAGGCTCCTTTATTATTCCATTCAACAACTTTTTGCTCGTCTTTTGAATCGAAGATTAGGTTTTCCATGTTAAATGATCACATCAATTAAAAAGCTCAACTTCACTATCACAGATTTTGATAAAACTTGGCAAAGATGTACATTTTATACAGACTAAGAAATATATATACATTTTTAACTCTTTGTGTCAACTCATTTTTGAGTTGAAGCTACTTTCTAGTCACATTTTTTTATTCCCAGAAGTAGTCTACTATAAGAACAAGCAGTGTTCCAATTTTCAAAATTGGGAAGGAATGAGTTCTTACTTGAGACTATTTTGAAGTAATTGTAATTTTCAGGATTTTCCAAACTTATATAAACAAATCTTGAAAACAAAAAAAAAAACAAGAAATATAAAATTTACTCCAACTAAATTAGTAAAATATATTCCAGCTCAACATTAATCTATAATATCTGTTTTATGATTGTTTTGAAATTCAGCAGAAAATACTGAGCTTTGCAGTGAACATGATATTCAAACTTTATTTATATTTAGAAAAAGTTACGATCATGTTTTCTATGAAAACTAAAATTTTTTGGTATCATCGGCATTGACTGCATTGGTCATTAGCCTGGTGTCCTGTGTATGCAATGTTAAAAACTCCCCGAGCCACCTAGGGAGCATCATGGCTATTCGCAGTCCGTCAGCAGAATCATCCCAGCTTCAGCTAGATAAATTCTCTCAAGAAAAATATCTGGTCGAGGTTGGGATCGAACTCACGACCTTCCGATCGTGAGTTGGGCGCCCTACCACTTCGCTAATTCACCGCTAAAAAAATTATAATTAACATGAAAATAAAAGTGAACCAAGCAATATTCCAATACTTCCACTCTCTGCTCGCGTTCTTGAAGATATGGATAGTGAATTTTGATTCTTCAAAAACTTCATTCTTGAGAACGCCTTGGTTAACATATCTGGCAGTTGTTCCTCTGATCTCTTATATAATGATACTTTATGTCGATATGTTTGGTTCTTCCATCATGTTCTTTATTTTTAACGAAACTAATAGCTCCTTGATTATTGACGAAAAATACTGTCAATTTTTTCAATGACATTTTCCAGTTCTTTCAGAAATGATCGTAACCACACAACTTTTTGAGCGGCATCGGATGCTGCTGTGTATTCTGATTCGGTTGTTGTTCTTGTTACACATTTTTTTTTTTGATGTGAAGACTGTGCCACGGTACCTCCACTCATCGTAATTGCATAGCCAGTTGTTAATTTCTGAGTATCACTTTTGCTGGCAAAATTTACATCAGAAAACGCTCAATAATTTCTTTTCTCTCTTCCATATTTGTTACTACTTTCAACAGTAACCCAGTGCATTTTATTTGGCTTTGACAAGAACCTGCTTATTTGATATCTGGCCTCGTCACAGTTGCCAAAATCATTAAAGATCCTACTGCTTCTCTTCTAGGTATAGATTCCATCTCTCTTTCCTCTTTAACTGAGCGTTCCCCCATTTCCGAAACAACATTTCAAATCCTTCTGGTTGAAACATGTAAACGTCATCTTGAATGTTTCCATTTAAAAATGCCGACTTGACATCAAATTGTTATTTTCTGCTGCTGCCAATGCATGAAGAATTGAATCATATCTTATAAATAGAAAAAAATAGACTGTTCCAAGGCCGTAGCTCAATGTATGTACTTGCCTTGCAGAAGTCATTCCTTCATACAGGTGATTTTAATTTAGACAGTATTATAGGACCACAGACGATATTGAAAAAAAGACTCTTAAATGAAATGATTGAAATAACAAAGCATGGAACAAAATATGTTAACAAAAGGTCGGATATTGAAAATTTACACACCTCATATTTCAATCTAATTGAAAAAATCAAACAATAATTCTGAATCATTAACAGACGACTTTTTCCAATTACAATTCTAATTTCTTTTATGGGCCTTTTTTGCATTATAAAGAAACGATTCACCGACAGTTCACTTTGTGTCTGTGTCAACGTTTTTAGTGTACCTGTGTATACATTCACGACATCTTATGTCGAATTTATTTACTCCACCCTCTTTGAACTCGGACAGCCGTCCTAAATGTAAGTACTCATCAGTTGTTTTCTATAAAGTGTTCGAAGCGTTTTATTATTTTTTAATGATTGTTATTTTACATAATTTATTTGGTTTTTAACAAAACTACATTCTGGATACTTCAGAGTCCTGAAGATGAAACAATAAAGTTTCGAAACTTCAACAATTTAGCGATCGGTTTTCTTCAACATTTTGACCGAATTCCCGCCAACTTGACAATCTTGGTCATTATGTACTCAGTACAGAGATGACCTACAAATCAGCAATCTCTGCGACTTCTTTCCTAGGAATTTACTTGATTAATACAGTCTGTAAAGTAACATCAAATTGATTTTTGCATTTTCGTCCAATTTTTGCCAAAAATTAAGCATTAAAATATAAGAAATGAAAATATCTGTTTAATAAAGTATCTCTTGACCCCTATTCCCATTTGAAAAAATTTGGGGGATGACCACACCACTTATAGAGTTGAAGATTTTGCAATTCTTTTTGCTTCAAAAAACTCCTCCATAATTGAATTTTGACATGATTTTTTTCCATGTAATGTCATCCTGTATGTTTATATTGTATTCAAGAAAATATCAATTTACATCATCTCATCTACATTCCAACCCTGGTAAGCTGCGTTTTCAGCTGCAGCTCCTTGAAAATTTGTAAATTTGTCAGCAATTCTTGACTTTTTATAAAAAGAATAAGGAATGTTATAGAGAATCGCATCGTAAACTTTCAGATCACCGAAATAAAAAAAAAATGGAAAACGAATCCGATATGAAAGTTTGACATAATTTCGGATTAGCCTAGCCTTCCATTGGAGTCGACGTTCGGCCGTCAGTTACCAGTTGAATGTCCCCAGCTATGGGCCATCATAATGGATGTGGAGATATTAATATTACTATTAGATACCCCTTACTATGTAAAGAAACGAGGGACAAAAAAAATAAGAAAAATACGGTGGTAAATTTTACTTTTCATTTCCCACAATGCAGGCTACTCTTGAACGGCACGCACTAATTATATTGTAACGAATCTGAAGCCGCCCCTGACCAGTATGCCGGCCGAATCATGTAACAAACACCGGCAAAACTCTACATTATATAAGCACAGCTTCCCGACCCAAGAGGGCAATTCAGAAAGTGAATCAGGCGGCTAAACAAGAAATTCAAATAGTGGAAATAAATTAGGCGTTAGTTGCTAAGTATTGTAAATAAATTAGTCTGTGATTAGTGAAATATTGTTGGAAATCGGAATTCTTTCAGAGTATTTTCAATTGTGGAATATCATTGACTTTAGGTCGATGATGGTCACTATCTTGCACTGATGAGTGGCTAATAAGCCCGAAACCGGTCTGCAAGTGTGCCCGTTCCATAATTGAAGGTCGACTCTTTCAGTTGTATTGCCAATTGCATATGCAGGACATTTTCTGTGAAGATTCCTGCACTGACGCCTGTCGGATATAATCCAACGCCCTTCGTGGTATTATCCAGGGGAGTAGTTGTTTTCTGATAGGCGTCAGTTCATTAAACCTACTGTATAGGTATATAGAGACTGGCTTGAACGTTTGAAGTTCCATTTGCTTTAGATTTGTTTACTGCCATTCTTCAAGCATAGCCCACTGACTAGTAGGAAACCTATAATATTTAGTATCAGCATTGTACCCGCGCGGAGCCGGGGCAGGTCGCTAGTATAATTTATAATGAGTGTATAAAATTATATTACTCATATGTGTCAAATCTCTCACTCTATTGTTTCTTAATTATGGCCAAACTTCGATTCTATATGTCTGATGGTTTCAATTACCCCTTATCAAATAGAAACGCAAGCCACTTTCATATTCATTTCTTTTGGATTTTTGTATACAGATAATTTTTTACTCATACCAATAACGTGCAACTGGAAACCCCTGTTTTATACAGACTAGCTAAACTCGTCAGTTGATGGTTTGTGAATAACATATGTTCAAAAATTGAAAATGTCTCAAAAAGTAACGTTTCACTCATCATTATATATAGCAATAATAAAGTATGTTTATGAGTTTATTTCCTATATTATGAAATGTTCCTGGGGTAATTTCGTTGCAAGTACCTATTTTTCTATCCACAAGTTATGAAATGAACTGCGGTTGTGTATCGTACACTTCAGATGTCAGTATACCCTCAAAAATGTCAAACCAAATCAAATCAGTTTATTCATTCAAAGGACCCATTAGAGAATCGAACATGTCAGGATATAATGTCTTAGTGCATGTATATAAATATAGTAAAGACTACATACATAACTACAAGACAAAAAAAGGAAACGCGATATAAGTTATTTGCTTAAAAAGTTACAACAAATCAAATCAGTTTATTCATTCAAAGGACCCATTAGAGTATAGAACATGTCAGGATATAATGTCTTAGTGCATGTATATAAATATAGTAAAGACTACATACATAACTACAAGACAACAAAAGGAAACGCGATATAAGTTATTTGCTTAAAAAGTTACAATAAAAATTCATGAATGCTATAAAATAAATTTTCTTGGAGAAAGGGTTTTATGAAGTTTCGAAATTTGAAGTGTGTAGGCCGAGTTTTAATGCCAGTGGATAATTTATTGTAAATTCTCACACCTGTTGAGAGTGGTCCATTTGATGTTATTTGGAGATTGCTATGATTTGGATTGATTAGCTGATTGTTTCTGGTTTGGTAGACATGTATGTCCGAATGCCTGAGAAGAGTGTTTTCTATTTTATGGATGTAGCAGGCAACTTCCATAATATAAAGACAGGCCAGAGGAAGAATATTCAATTCGGCAAACAATGGTTTACAGGAATTCCTGGGTGATACATTTTTTATAGTTCTTATTGCTTTTTTATAAAAAAGGGAGAGTGTTCTATTCGAATATAAAGATAAAATTGGTCGTATATTGCACATATCTCATGAAATGAAAATTGATTTGGCAACCTTGCCTAGCAATCTTGACCTTGACATCCAGCACTAAAGTGTCAACTGTTGACTAGGTTAGCTTATACAATAACAATGGAAGATTTAAAAATTGAGGAATTAGACTTATATGAATTACTAGAAATAGAAATAGATAGTTCAATAACAGATGTAAGTGATATCTGATTTTTATCAAAATAACCTTGATACAAATTGAGCTGGTCATTTTTAGATAAAAAAAGCATATAGAAAAAAAGCTCTGCAATGTCATCCTGATAAAAACCCTGACGATCCCAATGCTTCTAGAAAATTTCACGAACTTTCCAAAGTCTTGGAGGTTCTATCAGATGTAGCAGCCAGAGCGGCTTATGATAAAGTACTGAAAGGTAAGAAGGAAGCAGCATTGAGACACAAGCAGCTGGACAGCAAAAGAAGGAAATTAAAGGAAGAACTAGAAAGTAGAGAAAAGCAAGGGTTAGACAAAAAAAATGCAGATCAATTACTGAAGGTAGTATAATGTCTTACCCATTAACGACAGTTATTGATGATACATCGCCTTTTTTTTCAGGAAGAGATAGAGAGACTGCGAAAGGAAGGTTCAAGACTAGTAGAAGAGGAGATTGAGTATGTTAAATGTCAGTTGAGGAAAGAACAAAGTGTGGAGCCAGAACAATGGGAAAGTTCAAAGTTTCGGATCAAAATTAAATGGGAAGCTAGTAAATATGATGCTGAAAATGGTGGATATAACCAGGACATGCTGAACAGATTTCTTTCGAAAGTAGAGCAATGAAATAAAAGTTATTTAATTTGTTCTAATACTTGTATTTTTCAGTATGGCGATATACAAGTATTAGTTATGTCACCAAAAAAAAGGGGGAGTGCATTAGTAGAATTTAAAGAAGAAAAATCAGCCGTATGTATTTTCCAATAAATTTTTCAAGTAGATGTATGAAAATTTGTTACTTTTCAGAGAATGGCATTAGATTTAGAAACTGGTTTGTCATCAAACCCTTTAAAGTTGGAATGGATAAATAGACCCCCCAAATATAGTAGGACAGCCAGTTCTTTGATTAAAGATTCTGATTATGAAAGTGTGACATTAACTAAACTGAGGCAAGCTGAAGAAAGAAAGCGGCTCATTGAACAAATGATGGCTGAAGATGCAGACACATGAACTATTAATATGTAATTTATTACTTACTGTTCGTCAAAATAAGAATCAAATATGTTTTACTGAAAACTACTATTGAAATTTGAAACCACTTGTTTGTACAAATACATCAACAAAAATTCTTTTCTTGATTAACAGTGTTGCCGTTTTGCCATTGCCAGGCGGAAAAAATGTACTGTCATAAAATACCTTCAATAAAAAAACGAAAACACATTCGCTTCCTATTCATTTTACTATTGACTATAGAAAGACAAATTATAGATGAATAGCTCAATGAATATGTTGAAGTTTCATCGGATAAAGCACTTTCAAAAAGAAACCAAATTTTCTGGAAAAAGCTTTTTGGCTGTCTACAAACAAAGGAGGTGTCGAATTTATTAACCAAGATAGTGCCAACAAGATGATTGTAGATGATACATAAAAAAAAGATTATAAGTATATATTGCATATAGCTATGTCACGTGTTAAGCAGTGGTCAAAGAAATCAAAAATAGAAATAAAATGGTTAATCAAAAGTTCTATACGTTGAACGAACGAACCGGCGTTTGATAAATAAAAATGGAACAATTCAATATGTAACAACGCCATATGTACCACCTATCGCCCAATGTTAAAACTGTTTGCTGTTCGGTCATATAAAGGAAAATTTTAAAAGTAAAAAAAATGTTTCTCTTGCACAACACACCATAGAAAAGAAGACGAATGAATTGTCCGGCACAGCACGGCGCTGTCCGTCGCATAATGGCGACGATAGTAGTAACGCCTACTTGTCCAGCTACAACCAGCATACTGAAGGTGCTGTTTGTTCGGTTTCAAGGGATTTTCAGTTGATATCGAGCGGTGACAGAAACATATCTATCACTAGCAGTTCTGACGAAGAAGTCGTCATTATAGTGGTCGCATTATTGAATGTAGAAAAAAAATTACAAAAACGAATGTTGTGGGTCCATCCCATTAATCAAAAAAGGGCAAATCTAGGAGAGTTTCATCATCTTTTCAACAATCTGAAAGAAAACGGGGAGAAATTTTTCCAGTATTTCCGAATGACACCAGACAAATTTTCAGAACTTCTGAATATTCTAGAGCATGCCTTAACAAGCAACTCAATTTTTCCTCGTCCATTTTCATAGATACCGTCTGACACTGCTATCAACTAATGGAATAGCAAAACAGAGACAGTAACTTCCCAGGTACGTTTGGACAAGTTGATGCTGGCAAGCGCTGGCCGGCGACGCGCTCACTTGGCCAGTCCATCACAGCACGTACCCTTATTTGTCGGACAGGATTGGAGACACAAATTGTGATTGGAGAGCTGGAATCCTTTCCGGCGGCGGACGCTCATGGCTGTGCCGTGCCGGGCTATTGGGCGGTTGTCTATTCATTTTCGTTGTTATAATCATATCCGTATTTTGACGGAACGAGCTGTGCCGGACAAGTGACCGACAAGCTTAGCCCTCCGAGCCTGTCGAGCAAATAACGATACGTGCTGTGACGGACTCGATAGCGCTTGCCAGCATCAACTTATCCAAACGTGACTGGGAAGTATCTGTCTCTCAGTTTTGCTACTCCATCATTTGACAGCACGGTGTCAGACTGTACAGGACGGTACCGAGAAAAAATTGAGTTGCTTGTTAAGGCAAGCTCTAGAATATTCAGAAGTTCTGAAAATGTGCCTGGTGTCATTCGGAAATACTGGAAAAATTTCAATTCGTCTTCTTTCAGGTCGTTGGAAAAGATGATGAAACTCTTCCAGATTTTCCTATTTTGATTAAATCCTTTTTTTTGTGACTATTTTCTTCTACATTCAATAATGCGGCCACTATAATGACGACTTCTTCGTCAGAACTGCTAGTGATAGACATGTTTCTGTCACCGCTCGATGTCAACTGAAATTCTCTTGAAATCGAACAAACAGCACCCTCAGTATGCGGGTTGTAGCTGGACAAGTGGGCGATGCTACTACCGTACTACCCGTCGCCTGATGGCGACGGATAGCGCTGTGCTGTGCCGTGCCGGGCAAGTGGGCTACAAGCTTTATTCAATTTAAAGTAAATTTTAGTTGACATCGAGCGGTGACAGAAACCTATTTTTTATTTGGTCTGAATGAAAAGAAAATGTCATAAAATTTGTTTGCGTTTGTAAGAGTGAGAGACGAATGTCACAACATTTGATTTAAATTGTGAAGTATCACGAAAAATGATGCATAAATATCACGAAAATCCATTCATAAATACATAAAAAATGTAGCCCGATGAGACGTTCATTTTTGTCGCGAAAATCGCCTTGAAAATTTCACAAACAAATAAACGCGTTTACAAAGTGACTTAGAGACAGATTTTTTTGTTGATGATATATACGGAGCATTCAATTTGAATTTAATACTTTCGCGAAAATTGAGAAAAATTGAGTTTCAAGGTGTCACCCCAATGAGAAACGTATACTAGGTGACTATTTCATCATTGAAGAGAAAACACGATCACAAGTGTTATTTCACCATTGTTCAATTACATTCTAGGTCTGTGATCGTAGGTCACCTAGATGGATGGTCGAAACCACGCCACGTCCAAGTTCACGAAACGTGTAAATATTGCTTCAGATTTTTGTAATTGATGACATATTTATTTCGTGGAACTTAATGATCCCTTTATTGAAATGAATGAACACACTTTTGTCTAATTTCCATCAGATATTTTATTTTTACGAACGCTTTCGGGTTTTATCCCGTTATCAAGTATAAAAACTAATTAATACATTGGACCTCCTATGACCCCTCCCGGGTTGAGTGCAGAACATCCCATCTCTCCGGAGCGGTCCTCAACTTACTGATGAGCACTTCAGCAAGATTGACATCTGACCTTCTTTGGTCGAAAGTCAGCCTCTAGGTGCTTTTACTTTCTGATCTATTGACTAATACATTAGAAATCTAAAAACTTGGTTATATAGGGAGTTTGTAGGTAGGCTAGATCTGGAGGTAATTAAATGAACAGGGGCACCAACTATAAAAATTCAACACAGGAGAAAGAATTCTGCCAAAATTATTATCACTTATGAAAGCTGTTGTTAGTTTGTATTTAGAAAAAGTACCTAATGCTAAATATTTTCCGAAAGTTTACCTAAATACTTAATGCTACTATATTTACATGTTTTGTGTTTTGTATATTTGGGTATAATTCACTTATTAGCGTTTTATGAATTTTCTCTGATATTATCTTTTCTTTTAGAGAAACTGGTACGTACCTGATGGTTCACTCATTTTATAAATCATTTTTCAGTTCATCCTGAAAGTTCTTTTCAGGTAAAGGGATTGCGGAAGCTTTGTGTATTATCGACCTGAAGGCGGATAATTTATTAGAGATTGGACTGAAAGAATCAAAGGGAATTGTACACTCTGTGAAGGTATTTTTTTTCCGGTAGACAATAAATTGAAAACCACTATCAACCCTTGAAATATTCAAATCTAAAAAGTTGAACTTCTTGTTTTGTTCCATTTCTACTGTCAATTTAATTTTGTTATGCAGACTATTGAGGAAGTTTAAAAATTGATCAATTTGTCTGCTTGAACCATCAAACATCATCAACGTATCTGAACTAAAACACAATATATTTCTGAGGAAGGGGATTATTGAGGATGGGGGTATTTTCTAGTGTGTCCATGAAAATATCTGCTACGCAAAACGGTCAAAACGCATGTAAAACGGTCGAAACGTACGCAAAATAACGTATTTGAAATATCATTGTCGAATACTTAGCTCCGCCATTGCCCCCACTTTCGAACGTTAACTCCACAACACGTAACTCCACGACACTTTTGGGTGCCATTTCCTCCTCCTGATGATACTAATTTGGTTAACGAAAATACGACTTAGTATCCTTCTGACATGTTGGAACGCTAGACTTCCGTTAAACCGACATTTTTTTTCGTAATTGATGTATTTTCAAGCGTCCTGAAACATTGAAACCATTTTTTTTCTGAAATAATGTATTTTGAAATGTTAAACTGTGATGTTTTTTCTAAAATGATGTATTTTGAGACACGCTGTATGCTCCTCTGAATGTCCGTTACATTGCCGTCATGTTTTTTCTTTAATCTTTCAATATACAATGTTTATCGAATTGTAAACTCTTTGGCTAAATGCGCCGCACGGAAGTAATAGCCAAGAGAACCTAGAGAGAGAGAGAGAATTGTAAACTCTTCATGCCTAATTTTGAAACCGGCAATGCCACATCGTCCCATAAACAACGATTTATTTTAGAACCGACAACACCGCTTGCCTAGCGACGTATACCATTTCCATCTCTCTGTGCATCGATTATGTCACACGTGTCTCTCTCTCTCATGCATACACACACACACATTGAATGAATATTTTCCTACAAGGAAATGACGTTATAACTTCCCTAAAATTCTACGGAAATACAGAAATGAGGTTAAGTATAGAAAATGAGTCAATTTCGATCTCGACAAAAACAACCGCTATAAAAATCAACAATTTGCAATTACTTCCAATATTCCACATTGGTGTCGAGGCTGAGAACAACGTCTACCACGACGACGTCCTATGTTCAATTCTCATATCGATTATTTTTTTTATTTAATTTCACTCAGTTGCCGATGACCACGTGACTGGTGAGTGACAAGAGGGCCCTCTTGTCTCGCACTCATACTCATTTCACCCTGCATCGATTACGTCACGTTTCTCTATCCCTCTCTCCGAAGCACACGTACCTCGAGTTGGGTGTTCCACAAGGTTCCGATCGGATGTCATGAAAATTGCAAAAAGTTTAGCTCCATAAGAAAATACACGGGATTTTGCGCCAGAAGCCGCTTTGTTCATCTACTGATTTGTGCTAGTAATAATTTTCCAGTTTTATTTTGTACATCCTTACAACGTATTTTATGAAAAGTTTTCAGCACTTTATAAACTATAACGATTAAAATAAAGCAGAAACTGACAACTGACGTAACGTAATGCCAAATTCAAAACCAACCTCAAGCTAGTTTTGAGTCATCATGAATACGTTTCAAATCATAGTTGATGTGACGTCATCGTGTCAACGCCAGAATGAATGTATCTGAAATCACAATCGAATACGTTTTGAATACGTGAACTCCATAAAACACCTCATATCTCGAAATGCTTGTCAAAATTGTGTTGTGTTTCATATTTCTCTGTATGGATTAGTTGTTTAACGATTGATAATTACGAAAAATAATTAATGTAAATGAAAAAAAATGTATTCAAAAATGAAAAATATGTTTTTCAAATGTGTGCCATAAGTCATATCAACAGATTAAAAAGCTTTCTGCTCAATGTTCAGTTTGTATACTAAATAGTTATTCTTGTGCAACCAATGTTAAATTTGTTATTGCTTACTCAACAACTAACTTACGTCACACAAAGAATATGATTTCCGTTTTGGTTTTATTTTTTTGCAGGAGGCTCTCGCGTTGCTTACAGACAATATTCAATAAGAAATGACGATTGTCATTTTTTAAGCTTTTTTTGGTTGGGATATGTCAAATAATGAAATAAAATAAACCTAGTTTCAAAAACTTCATTTATAAGAATAAGATCAAAAAAATAATCATTAAAAACATCAAAAATATCCCCTTCCATAATGTCAGTCCACAAAGACCCCTAGATACCAATTTCAAATGAAATCATGATTTCTAATCGAAAATTCTTCATATCGGACCTCACAAACCATACCACTTGTTTATAAAATTTGAGAATAAATCACAAATTTCTTCATCTGATCATATGAAGTAAAGTTCATTACTTTTGAAAATAACATTTATTATTGTTATGAATTAGTTCATATGAAAAAAGTCATACATAAATAAAAATCTAGTAGGTGGTAGAAAAACTGGCCTCATTTCCATAATCATTAATAATAAATCAGATTTCGTGTAGGAACTATTTGAATAGAAAACATTTTCACCTGAAATGATTTATTGTATAAATATATACTATCCCTCCGATTATCAACTAAACCAACCGCCACTGTTTTATGGTCTAACTTACTTCCCGTAAACAAACAAAGTTATACTGTCTTCAATGTAAGGATGGAAAAGGCCCTCTATTGTCTTTTGTTACTCTGAGGTTGTATTATATATTTCGTGTGATTTCGTGCTATTTGTTCTATGTGTTTTGACAGTGACAGTAGATTGTCATTTTTTTGACGCTCGACAATCTTGAAATGTAAAGTTGTGTTCTGGTTAAAGCATTATAAATCATTAAAATTAGTAATTTTTGATGACAGGATCTATGGAGAATATAACAATGTCATCATTCTTTAAACATACTAGCGTGCCCCATTGGTGAACATTTTTTCTTAACGTTTGTCTTTGGTGTACGAACCCTGGGCTTGGTATTAGTGTGGATACTACGTCTACGACAAAAACGTAAAGCGTTGCGCTGATTGCAGTATGAAAGCGCTTTTTGAATTGACAACACGATATATTATTTGCCAAATTTTGTCATATTACAATATATGAATGAAAAATGTACTCGGTCCATTTTCGAAAGAAATATTTTTCTGCTTATGGTTATAATTTCATTTTGAATTTTCTTGGCAACGTGCCAGATTTCAAATTATTCTGCGAAAGAATTGATATAGAGAAAATTAGATTTGACAACTATGAGTTTATACAAGTAATCATTCTGCGCAGAAAAAAGCGCTTTAAAGCAGCTTTAACTGTAAGAAGCTGCTAGACACAAGCAGTTTTGTAAGTAACTTCTTGTCACGTGATGCTGACGTTGCTGACATTTTTCATTGAAATGACAGAAAAAGATTCTCTCCTTTCTCCTTTCATTTGTAAATTGGACCACGATGACGACCCAGCAACAAACTACACCTCAACCGAAAAGAGGGATTATCAAACAGGTCAGTATTTACACATATTGTTTTGCACTACCAATCATCTTTTATTTGAAATAAATTTGTATTTGCTTATACCATATTATTGAAAAATGTGATTTCAAAAACTGGTTGAAATCGTGCTATGTTGGCATATGAGTTCTGCATATGGAATTCCTAATGTATGATATTCATTATTTTCATGATCAAACATTGCTTAAGTTATTTCATAGTTTTTCATCAATTCATACATCAAATATAAGTAGAAGTGATTTTAGGTTATAAAATCATCAGTTATGAGTTGGCATTATTTAAGAATATTGGACTCTACTGATAATTATTTTTGTTTAGATTCTTTCTGGAGATTCTGTGATCATTAGAGCCTCGTCAGGAGCTCCTCCACCAGAGAAACAAATAAACTTTTCGGGAATAACGGCCCCAAAATTAGCTAGGAGGGCCGGAACAGGCGATCAGTAAGTAAACATATTTTCTGTACTACCACTTGTTACTATTAATTTGTGTCAAGAAGATTCCTGCAGATCTATACAATGATGGTAATTTATCATTATGAAATATATAGCTCTGGACAGAGATTTTACAGATTATTTATTTCACTATTTTTCCAAATGTTTCTTTTTTATATTGTAGGGCTGAGATCACAAAAGATGAACCATGGGCATGGGAAGCTAGAGAGTTTTTACGAAAAAAACTGGTTGGAGAAGAGGTGTTATTCACTGCTGAAAAACCTCCAAATGCAATGCGTGAATATGGAGTAGTTTACTTGGGCAAAGGTAATGCGTTTATTCTAATAGAAAATGACTTATACACACTTTTTTTCATTGTTATTAAATTTTTTTGTGAATTTCATCTGTTAATAACCGATGTTAATCTACTTAATTTTGGAAAAAGGAGGTTATCTCTAAATAAACGCCCTGGTTTTTGTTGCAGATATCAATACTGCAGAAAATATCACAGAATCATTGGTATCGGAAGGTCTTGTATCCGTCAGACGAGAAAATGTAAGACAAACTCCAGAACTCGCTCGTTTGATTGAATTGGAAGATGCTGCCAAATCAGCTGGCAAGGGAAAGTGGGGCCCAAATCCTGCGGTAAGTTTCCTTTATCAAAAAATCAAATTTTGGTTTCATGCATTTACATTTCAGGAGCATGTTCGTGATATCAAGTGGTCAGTAGATAATATGAGGGCCTTTGTTGAACAACAACAGTATAAACCAATCAAAGCTGTCATTGAACATGTGCGTGATGGATCTACTGTTCGTGCATTTTTATTGCCGGACTTTCATCATATAACATTGATGATATCAGGAATAAGAGTAAGTGTAATTATATTTTCTAAATTATTTATGAACTTTTTGCATTTAATACTGTATATGGTGTGATCATTGTCACATTTTCAGTATAGTGCTAGATAAAATAGTGAATTTTCCAATATAAATAACAAACTTTATAGTTAATTATAATTTCACTTCACTTACACTGGTACTAAAAGATAAAACTGGAACCTCTAAAGTAGTATAAATTAAAAAAAAACTGTTCCCAAATGCCAGAACTGTAAAATGATTCTCTGTGCATGTTTCTCCAATGAAGTTGACATCTGCAGAAGATGAAGAAAACTAATTAGTTTTTTGGAGTTGAAGAACAGTGTAATAGATTTGGCTCAAGTTGCTAATATATGTAATATTGTTCATCGTGTTTGGTACTTTTTTAATGTAAATCATTTCTTTTATAGTTTTTTTTGTCAGGCGTTTTATTAGATTTATCTAAAGCATCTATCCCAATCATAAATATCTACTTGAAGAACTCGAGAGATGAAATTCATGGAATTGCATTATACTGGTTCACATAATATCTAACAAATTGACAACAAAGAGTAAAAATCACACTGGATGGAGAAATATTTAAATTTGATGTGATAATAGATTATATTGGTGTTCTCCAAGGTAGTATAATAGATCCAATTTTATTTTTCTCTTTATGAATAATATTTTGGAAATATTAATTATGCACATGATACAAACTTGTTAGTTACTGTTTGTAATTTATTACATCTAACTCGACAATCAAATTATTTCTTAAGCGAGGTAAATAACTGTTTCACAAAAAATGATCTCATGGGAGTGTTCATGAACATCAGGAAAACTTCAGGAAAAATTTAATACTATATCTTAAGGTTTAAGGTTACTCAGTAGATATCTGAATGAAAATTCATTAAGAATTATGTACTTTGTAAAATTTAAAGCATCACAAACATTTGGGATTATGTTTTGGGAATCAGACCAGTTACATGATCCACTTATATTTACCATTCAGAAGGAAACAAAAAGTTTTGCCTTTCTACTTCTCCATCTTTATACAAAAAAAAATGTAATTTTTCAAAGAAAGGAAGAAATTAATTGCTTTCAAAATAAACTATTTGCAAAGATGTAAAGAGTAACTTTCAGACACAAACTAGAAGAAAAAGCCCTCTCAAAACACTACTTTCACATAAAAATTGAATTACACGAAAGAAAAAAAAAACTTTCAAAACAACTACTTCTATATGAACATTGAGATATACAAAAAACACGTTTCCCCATTCAGTTTGTACTTCAAACATTAGTTATGAAATTTAAACTGAAATTATTCACAGGATTGCTACACAATATAGTATTTGAAACAGGTAAAATTTCACTTGCCTGATTGCCTCTTCATTATCAATCTGGATAACATTACAAGATGAAGCACTCGATTTATTCATGACTGTCAAAATTTGGTTTTTTCAAAAAATATATATATATATATATGAACTGTACATATGAACGTATGTACAGATGTAGACCAGGAATAACACTTCAGCATGTGATACCATCCGTGAAAGACTAACATGTGTGTGTGTGTGTGTGTGAAAGCAGCAGAAGCTTATGTTTCAGGAAACGTAAGGCGGTTTATTCTGTCGGCACTATCCAATCTGGCACTGGCGAGAAACCAGTACTACAAAACAGGTCTGTCGGTGGTCATCCCAACCAAATGAAGTTAATTTTATTAATGAGAGGTCACTCACAAGACATTTTTCAAAGGGTGTATGATGATTTTACCTAAAATTTCTATGCAGCATTAGCTGAGTTATTGTTTTTCTATCAGGAAGCCAATCCTTTTTCGAATTATTCAGCGTTTAGTTTTTAAGTTGCTTTTTATTTTATATATTTGTACTAATTTATCAAATCCTTATTTATTATCAAATATTTCACTTCTTGAAAGGTACAATGGAAAAAAATGAAGAAAAATGTCTTTCAATATGCAATGACAAGGAAAACGTCAGCTTAAAAAAAGGAAAAAACTATAGGTATTTACAAATGAGTTGCCAAATGAATAATACACACAAATAACATGGAGAGGGATAAAATCATCGATAAAATTCTTCCGAGGAGTAGCAATTTTTTTCAATTGAAGTTTTTAATCTTGATTTAAAAATATTTATATTAGGGGCTGCCTTCATATTTACCTACGTCTAATTTGTTGAAAATTTTCAGTCCGTGATAAAGATGGCTTTTCTGGTAGAGGGCTGTTCGATGTGATCAAAGTAGTAGCAAATTTTCAGAGCGAGTTGGATAATCATGAGTTTGCTTGTTCGATAAAAAACTTGAATTTTCATTATAAACAAAAATACATAATTCATAAATATATATCCTAACAACTGAAAGAAGTTTCAGGTTTTTGAAAGAGTTCCTGCATGACTCTCTCTTCATCCAAGTTTAGCAATGATTCCAATTGCCGACTTTTGTAATATGAAAATCCTTTCCACGGACGATCCTGTACCCCAATTCAAAATCCCGTATCGCAAATGACAATGAATAGTGGCATAGTACAGACTCAACGAATAAATGAATAAATAAATAGAATTGCTGACAGTATATCATTTAATATCCAGGATCTAATAACTCAAAACTAAAACCCTATAAAATATATTCTATAACAACAATGCTCCTCCGAATCTAAATAGACCTGAAAAGTGCACGTCTGAAGTTGCATAGGTTTTTGGCGCGTGTGGTTGTCTGTAGTTTTGGCCTATTGCTTGCAATGATATTTTTAGTAAATCATTAATAAACATAATAAATCGCACCGGTTAGGATTTAGATCAGTAAAAATTTAATGTTGGCATCTTTGGATCCATTAAGAACCGTTTTATTTTATTTTTTTTGAGATCATTGAGAAGTTGAAGCTTTCTATTACGGCAGAGTCATTATGAAACATTTTTCACGTGTTGCTTAACACTTGTTGAATGTATTTATTTATTTGTATTGTACTATTTTCCAGTGTCCTGGATTCAAACTCGATAGCAATGGCAAGCCAGATCCTACTATTAAGGTGGAATATGCTGAAGAAGCTCGTTTCTTTGTTGAGGTACGGCTACTTCAGAGAGACGTAGAGATAATTCTTGAGTCTGTCAACAACAATAACTTCATTGGTACCATTATTCATCCTAAAGGCAACATTGCTGAACTCCTTCTGAAGGAAGGTTTTGCCAGATGTGTGGACTGGTCCATTGTTTTTATGAAATCAGGTGCTGACCGACTCAGAGCTGCCGAACGTCAAGCTAAAGAGGCACGTCGTAGATTGTGGAAAGACTTTATTGCCAGTACACCAAAGGTTACAGGTAATGGTTTTTTTTAGGTAATATCAAACTAAGTTATTCTATAAACAAGTCCTTTTAAATACTTGGCGAATGAAGTTAAATTGTGACTATGAAACCGCGAAAAACCGCAACACAAGTTTTGATATACAATAGCATCTTCAGGCGTATTGTGATGCAAAAATCTTGTATTCAATAAGCCTCAAAGATTTGTAGTTTTTTTTAAACTCGTCAAACTTGGACAATTCTGTTGATAGCATGCCAAATCCGTCTTCATAATGTCTTCTTTCTTTATTTTTTCTGGGATTCATGTTTTCACCTATTGTTATCTGTTTTTTTTATATAAAAGTTTTCAATTTCACTTGTAAATAGACTATGTTTTGATTAATCACAATATTTTGTTAAAAATTACTCTGAATTTTTACTAGAGTAACCGATTTTTCATAAATTGATCTTTCACCTTCTTTTTTTTCTCTTTTAATCGGTCACTGATTTTTCAAAATGTTGCTCTTCTCTGTCTAGTAGACTATCTTTAAGAGTTTCAGTATCACCCTGTTTGTGTTCAATTTCACAGTATTTGCTTGAACAGAGACATTAGGCATCTTGATTTTATGTTGGCCAGAGTCAGTTTCAGAAATTTGAGTGCTAACAAAAACTTAATTTCTTCACCTGTGAATGTCTGTATATTCTTCTTAAGCTCACTTAAAATTTAATTTTTTGTGAATTGAGCAATTTCATTTTCAGTTCATAAATTTTCTGGTAAATTCTAGTTCTCCAATGGCATTTTCTAGTATATTTTCACAATTTTCTTCAATGTACGTAGCTTTACTATAAACACATATTACCTTATTTCTATTTTAGTGCTTTGTAAGTCTCATTGACTTCGTACAACTTTTATGGAACACACATGTGCACTTTTTGCAGACAAAATACATATTATTGTGTTTGTTTTTACAGTAAGGAAAGAAATAATCATTATTTTCAAAATAGAGCTCAGACGCACATTTGTTGTGAATATTAACGTTTATCAATCCCAAGAAAAATACAATATTTATAGAGAGATGATAAAAAAAATTAACAAATTATTCTACATGAACTCTATCAATATTATTAACAAATACATTTTATAATTAAATCAGAATTATTAACAGAAATGTGAGTATCAAAAAGAAAAGATTATGGTATAATGGTTTTCTTTCAAATTCATAAAACTGCAAATTTTATTATATGCAGTTTTGAAATTACTGATTACCTAGTGTCATACTTATGAGTATCTGAATCAGCTACATAAGATATTGAGTAATGTTCTTCAAATGTTTTGTAATTGTATTGACAACTATCCTTTTTATATAACAGGCAAGGAGAAAGAATTCACTGCCACTGTCTTGGAAGTTAATAATGGAGATGCTCTGCTTCTCAAAATGGCAAATGGTGACACAAAAAAGGTATTTTTGGCTAGTATCCGTCCACCCAAAGAAGCTGGTCGATCCAACGATGATGATGGTAAACCTATTCCAAGGCCTAAGGGATTCCGTCCTCTATATGACATTCCCTACATGTTCGAAGCCAGGGAATACCTGAGAAAGAAACTGGTTGGCAAGAAGGCTCACGTTGTTATTGACTATATTCAGGAAGCAAGAGAAGGTTTTCCTGAAAAAGTATGTGCTACTGTGTCTATTGGAGGAAAGTGAGTACTTTTTTTTCATTTTACAATTAATCAAGATGGTATATTTCTTCACATGTTCGACTATGAATCTTTTGCTTGTATGTTATGGACTGAATTCAAAAGAATTGTCCAATACATCTTTATTCAAATGTGGTGTGACCTACCCCTTTTTATAGAAACACATAGCATTGGCATTGAAACAATAATGTATTCCAATGTTACAACTAATTTGATTAATATAAAAGAAATAATAAATTTTGCAAAGCAATTGTTCAATGAAAAATACTTTCCTTGAACTGTATGTAACATATATTTCTCAACTAAATGACAAAGAATGAATATTAGAGAATGACCTGTTTCTTGATGAAAATTAATAACACTCTCCATGATAGTAATTATAGAATTTTTACAATTAATTTTATTTAAAACGTGTTTTGCTACACAGTAGCTTGCGTTCAGTTCAGTTACTGAAGTTCGTTCCAGTAAACAGAACAAAAAGATGTACTGTGCATAGACCTGTGACCTTGAAAAATACAAGACTCAACATTGGAGGAGGTGAAAGGAGAAATGAAAAAAAAACTGGAAAAAGTGGAATACCAGCAGAAAAACTGAGGTATTCCTCTGAGGAGAAAGACTACAGAAAATTATAACTTGACACTTATTTTAAAAGTATGGTATGATGAAAAAAATTTCAGAGCAATTGAAGAAAATATACCCAATACATAAAAAAGTTGATTGAATAATCCGTAGAAATTATAGAGCAATCACACTATTAGTGGTAGTGTACAAAATACTAGCAAAAGTATTAGGAATGAGATTTAGAGCATAGGAAACAGAGAATCAAACTATTAGATGATACTTAACAGTTTATTAAGCCAAGATTCTAACTTATATATTGAAATTATTCTCAAAAATTAATGTGAAAGAGTAAGTATATGAAATATGTGTGCATAAATTATAAAGTAGTTTGAAAGTTACAAAATGTTAAAAGAGGCAGAAAAAATTGAACATCTACTGACATGCTTTTTCAGTTGATTTTGGAAACCACAAAAAGTGGTGTCTTTGGGAGTTTATTCAAATCATTCAGTACCCTAAAAAACCATATTATAGCAAAAATGTATATACATAGATCTGTGATTAGTATTCAAAATTATAGTTGTACAACTTGTTTCTTGCAGGGTTGGCAAAACCAAGGTTTTTTCCAAAAAAAACAGGTTTTTTTAAAAAAAAACAGGTTTAAACCAGGTTTATTTGATACAGAGTATTATGAGTCTAAATACTTTAAAAATTGATAAATTATTTAAAAAAATTATAGTAATATTACTGATTATCTAGTGTCATACTTATGAGTATCTGAATCAGCTACATAAGATATTGAGAAATGTTCTTCAAATGTTTTGTAATTGTATTGACAAAGCTCCAAATATGATAGCCTTCTAGCTGCTGAAAGTAAAGCTATCAAAGAACAAGTTGGTGTTCATTCAAAGAAGGAAGCACCTTCTCTTAGAGTGACTGAAATTGTAAGTGTTGAAAATGATGTTAATTTGTTAAGTACCAGAAGTATCTGACATATACATACTAATTACTTTACTTAGGATGCTGGAAGAGCAAAATTGGAGTTGTCTTCTTTCCAAAGGGCTCAGAGAATTGATGCTATTGTTGAATTTGTTGCAAGTGGATCTAGGTTGAGACTGTATATTCCGAAATCCAACAGTTTGTGTACATTCCTGTTAGGTAAGAATTTTTCCCAATTTTAAGAAATATAAAACTTGAACATTTTAATTGTGATTTTTCTGTTACTAAAAATGTATTGTTTTTCTTCATTAAAGGAGGAATAAACTGTCCAAGAGCAACCCGCCAAGCCACTGACACTGCTGGCGAACCATATGGTGACGAAGCTCTTCAGTTCACTAAAGAAAAATGCATGCAACGAGAGGTATCTTTCCAAGTTGATACTCATGACAAAGCAGGCAATTTTATTGGCTGGTTGTGGGTTGATAACTTGAATATGTCTGTTGCATTGGTTAAGGAAGGTTTTGCCTCAGTGCATTTTACTGGTGAAAAATCTCAGTATGCAACACAGTTGAAGAGTGCTGAAGAAAGTGCTAAAGCCCAGAAGTTGAAGATATGGAAGGACTACGTTGAGGCAGAAAAGGAGGATAAGAAAGAAGAAGAGAAAGTGGTAAGCATTCTTTTGCGCGAAGTTTCAACCTGTTATTGTTCAACTTTTGATTTGGGAAGGTCACAGCAACCAGGTTTATTGACTTGAATGTAACTTTCTATTTTGAAATTCCAGCCAACTGAACGCAAAGTGAACTTAGAGGAAGTTGTAGTTACAGAAGTAACACCTGAAGGAAGTTTCTATGTGCAGAAAATTTCAGAAGGCCCCAAAGCGGAGGCCCTCTTTGCAAAGCTACGACAAGAATTCCAAGCCAACCCGCCTCTTCCTGGTGCATACACCCCAAAACGTGGAGATCTGTGTGCTGCCAAATTTACAGTTGATGATGAGTGGTACAGGGTGAAGGTTGAAAAAGTTCAAGGTGAGAAAATATTTTAAATAAAAACTCTGAAGTGTTTCATATATACAGTGGATGCCAAATCGAGCTTTCATAAGAAGTTTCCATTGTAGGGATAAAGTTATCAAGAAATGTTTATAAAAAAAGTACATGATAATGCATTGGTCTTGTAAGTGTACTTGAATGGAGACGATACAACAAAGCTATATACTAATTTCAACCTCAACCTACATAGAGGTTGATTAATGGGAATTTATGGCAGTTGTTAGGCCATGTTTATTATATCAGTATCTTTTCATCATAATTTTTATTGCAATGCATAAAAGAAAATAATTTAATAGAGATTTTGCAGGAATTACTGACTTATGTGCTTCTCTGTAGCTCTAAAGGTAATGTGGTTACAGTCGCATAGCCATAGTTAGATTATATCAAGTTTTGCAGAATTTATAACTTTGATCATATGAATATTACTGGAGTTTTTTTTCCCTACACCAAAACATTATTTTAACACCTCGACACGTGTTTCGATCACCAAGTGATAATCTTCAAGACGAATATCAAACTAATCATACTTACAAAGCTGTTCTTATTTATACCATAGATACCTGTTCTAGGTACCTGCCTCTTGAGTGTCTTAAATTAATTTTACAATTTGCCTTATCTTGAATTAATTTTACAAAGTGTGCTTATGTAATAGTAAGATGAATCTAATAATTGAAATATTTTAAGCTATTTAAAGTTAATTTCACAAACTGCCTTATCTACTAGCTTTAAATTAATTTTACAATGTGTCCTTAAGTAATAGTTGATCATATTATGGCATATTTTTGTCTTACTTCCATTCACATTTTTTACTCTGTATCTACTCGAAACTTAAGTAACATAATTGGGAGGAACCTATTATACAATAAACAATAGTCAAATTATTGTGAAGTTATATTTTCATTATAGGAGGTAATGCCACTGTCCATTATATTGATTATGGAAATAAAGAGACCTTACCTTCGATACGCCTAGCCAGCCTTCCAGCAGCTTATGTCAGTGACAAACCGTTTGCTACAGAATACATCATGCCTTATGTCACTTTGCCAAAAGATGAAGAGTATGCTTCTCTTGCTATCAAATACTTGAAAGAAGACACTGCAGTTAGCAAGCTTTATCTTAATTTGGAGTACAGGGTGCCGGGCGCCCCTTCTGCAGCTTCCCTCCACTTTGACAAGACTTCTGATGCAGACATTATCAAAAATCTCATTAAGGAAGGATTGCTTATTGTTGATGTGAAGGGAAGGAGACAGAATAAGTTGGTGAGTATTTTTTCAACTTACTATGTCATGAAAAAAAGATTATTTCGAACTCGGTTCTGGTTACTTTTTCTCAAGCAGCCTTTGAAATGCTTTATATACAATACCATTTTATTACATCAAGTAATATCATTTCATTTGTAGCAGATAAATTAAACAATATAGAACAAATAATGCATTTTATAGAAAGCTATGAATGATGACAGCACACACACAATTGAACAACTTGAAACAATAAGTTTGGAGACGAGAGTGACGAGTAGAATAAAAAAAACAGTAATATGCATTATTGAGTGGGTAATATTGAAGTACACTTACATTAAAAGGAAGATAATTACCGCTTGTTACCAGAGGAACAGAGTTGTCGATGAGATGATACTGCTCCCTAAATGCGATTGAAGTTGTGTCATCAGAAGATGAAATACATTTATTGCATTCAAAAATTTGAAATTTATCATATTTAAATTATGAAAGGTAGCAGTCCAGAATTTTGAGCTATACCATGAGTGATCAGCTTATATTCATTATTATCACCATAAGATACTCGTTTGTCAGATATACTCAATTCGTGACATTTCAGTTCTCCTAAAGACGGAGAAGGCCTTGGTGTTTGTACAGTGTATTAGTAGTATGCTTACCCACTTCAAAACCTTCCACTATCTATCTCACAACATTTATTAAAGCTAAGTCATGTAAATTCAAAGGAAATTACTTCAAAGGAAATTACTTCAAAGGAAATTTAGCAGTTACTCTATTTGTTTCTGCTACATTCAAAGTTGACTAAATTTTAACTAGCTTTCCATTAAATCATGCAATTTATTTTGCACTTTTTCTGAATCACCTAATACAGTTGAATTCTCATTTGACCAAACTTTAGATGCATATTCAAGTTTGGGTCGAACTAAGGTATAATAAAATAATTTGATAGTTTTCATTGGCAAAATGCTTGCTTTCTCTGACTATAATCTAACATCTGATTAACAGATTTCGTAATATTGTAAATACAAACTATCAAATCGTAAATATGATTGGCAAAGTAAAAAGTAAAAGTTTCGCCCCAAATCTTTTACTTCCTCTAAACACTTTAATCCCTTGTGTATTAAAAATAAGTGGGTGTTTTATCCTATTCATTGTTAAAACATGACATTTACTTCTCAATTTGAGGTTAAAACTTAAATTTATGCTATAAAACTTACATATTGTGTTTTATTTCATTGCACATTATACATTTGAAAATTGATATTTCATATGGCCTGAGAGGAAAAAAATGCTAGGGCCACACGTGTCATTTAAAATTAAAAAAAATGAAACGCCGGCACACAAATGTATTATTGTGAAGAATATCAATTGAAAGCATTTAATTTTTTGCAGTTGGAGAGTTATAGAGAAGCACAAAATGAGGCTAAAAAACAGCATGCAAACATTTGGGAGTATGGAGACATTACAGAAGATGATGCAAAGGAATTTGGACTTGGTAAATGTAAGTAAATTAAACATTTTTTTCTAAGATTTCATATGATGAAGTAAAAACCTGGCAGCAGAAAGAAAATGTTTTATTTTCATTTCAGAAATATGATATAGGGACCACTTCACCAGAGCAAATAGACTACTATGCTACATTAAATAAACCACACATTGTAGACTTCCAAATCATATTGATTAGTAGACTTCCATTTACCTTTTATTCATATGTTTAAATAGAAACTGATGTATACATAAGAGATATTTTTATCAACAGTTGTACTTTGTAATGATTTTTTTTTTCATGTGTATATTTGTTTTGATGTATTGTGTCTAGAACAACCGATTATATTCTGTAATTTAAGAAGTACCTACCTTTATACGAAATTTTCTTTTGGTAATTTTAAAGTCTCAAAATAGAGACAATACTTTTTACCTCTAAATTGTTTTGTATAATTTGACTTATATTCAAAATACTATTTGAAGCCACAATTATAGAATATTTGATGTAATTTTTATATATGTAAAGAAGCAATTTCTTTCATCAGTGAATTGAATCTTATAAATTCTCTGGTTACAACAGCATGCTCTATATATTTTGATATTGATTTGTGTACAATTAGACTTTCAATTCAAGAGAACCTATAATGACTGCAGGGGACGGGCTTTGTTTCCTTAATAAAACAATTTATTGTTTTGACTTTGCCTTTTTCTTTACCTTTCTGATTCCACTGAAATATATGCAAATACTATCAGAACTTTTTTCCATAGTGAAGATATCCTAATTATCAGTGATCTTGATAAAAAAAGACAATTTCTTGAAGGTAAAATAAATGTTTAGTGTTGAAGGTAAAGTACAAGTATTTGTTTTTGTTGCGTGGAATCTATTTTCTTCCAAGTCCCTGGAAAATACTATCTTCATGGTCAATTCTGTATTTTCTCCCACCTTTTTGTAACACCCATTTTGAAGATCTTGTTACCTGTACAAGGTTATAGAGTTCTTTGAGATATATTTTTCTGGGCATAATTTGGTAGGTCGGTAGCCGGGTGGTTCAACGTGGGTGCTTTGTGCACTCTCTCAATCGACCGATGTGTGAGTCGGTGGTTCAAGCCGCAGGCTGAACGATTGATTTTTACTTGCTATCATCCAACCCGTGTTAGGAGACCTCGTTAGTCTTTAGCTCGCACAAGTTTCGACTTCTGAGGGTTGTCGTTCGTAGGGGTGCGACAGCTGGTAAACGTAAAAACATATTTTTAAACTGGTACAGTATTTCTAGACCTACAAAGGGTGTTTAAACTCGTCTATAAAGCTCAATTGATCAAATCTATACAGTATTGGCATTGTTGTAGCGGCTTTGGCATGGCTGGTTGATTACCTTTGACAACACCAATCAGAAACTGGGATGTACCACAAGGTGTACTTGGCCCTCGATTGTCAGTATTGTATATTATTGATATAGTGGTGAATGCCTGGAAGATATTCATTTGAATTGTTTGTTCGTGATAAATTTACATATTTCTCAAGTTCACACTAGTAGTATGTGGTCGAAGTAATTAATGAGACTGAAAATATACATAGACTAGCGGGCTCGGCGAACGTTGTTCCACCTAACAGTCAATGAATGAGCAAATTTAGGATTTTAAAATTAACACAAAATTAGTAAGTACTAGCGGACCCGGCGAACATCGTTCCGCCTATCAGTCAATGAATGAGCAAATTTAGGATTTTAAAATTGATACAAAATGATTCGGTATAATAAAATGAATGGTATTGATATATAATGAAATAAATGGGATGGTAGTAAGAGTGCTCTTTTCAGTAAAGCACACTATGATATACATGTGAGCTATCAGTTGCGTTTTATTATAAGAGCCACATTGTCTGCTGCATAACTGCTCATATCCAATCCATCTGAAGAAAAGTCAATGGAAACATTCAATTTGCCTCTGAACCTTTCCTTTATAAATTATATTTCAATACTTATTATCCTTTTCCCGATGAAGACGAATCCAAAAATCATAAAAATTGGTCCAGCCGTTGTTGAGTTCTTTTAATATTATTTTTCTTTTTTCATATTTACTCGCCTTTTAAAACTTCCTTGGACTTCCACAAATAATTCAAAACCAAAATTAGTAAAACCGATCCAGCCATAGTTGAGATTTAGCGAGACTAACAAACAGTAATTCATTTTTATATATTAGACGGTGTTGTGCAAACTTACTGAAATTACATATAAAAAAAAAGAAATAAGGTATAAACAACTTATTAAATGCCAGCATCACAAAAAATCTATAATGTGATAATAGAGGTGGTAGGACACTTTCAAATATCTAGAAATTAACTGTATCATAAGAATGTATTGAACTCATTAGATTGGTTTCCTGCTTGATTTTTTTTTGTATCAAACTCAATTTGGTTCATGAAAAAAATCAGGAAATGCACCTCCTTATTTACAAGGAAAAATACTTTCAACTCTTAGTACTATAATTACAACACTAGAACACAATAAATTTTCCACACCAACTGTTATGAAAAATCATCTCAAAATTCATTTTTTTTTTCAAAGGTCCGAATGAATATAACCAACTACTCGTTGACAATAACTGCAGGAAGTTTCAATAATATATTGAGACAACGTTAAAAAAACACTTGCTGTGTGACTGGGATTCTCACAATTTCATAGTGTTGTATTCAATAAATATTATAGACTTTTATATTCAAACTAATACTTTACAATTTTCGAATATATTTCATTTCACCTGATGTGAACTTCTAATTATATGTACTAAAAGTGTGGTCTTTTAATTGCCTCATAAATTGTATTTTATTGTGAATAAGTCTTGTAGTAAATAAACGAATGTTTCTACATGACAAGCTGCCCCTATTCCTTTTTTGCAATCCTTATAGCTAAGGTATTTGTTATATAACCCTATCTAAATGTCCAGTGAGTAGCTCTGTTATTATTGAGCTGATTAGTGCTTCATTGAAATAGTTCTTTCTGTTCCTTGGTGTATTTTTCAAGTACTCTTTGTATTTTGAAGTTACTTATTGGTGAACGCCAAACAAACATTGACCAAAGCCCTCCAGTCAACTTGGATTATATATGAATTGTTGTATTTATGTTTTCACAAAAATCACATCCAAAGGATTTTGTAAATGAGGTATTTGTTCTGTAAAACTTCAAACTGAATTTTTAGTATTCATAATTTCCCTAGATCACAAATCCTGCTGATTGGGAACAATAACATCATACTATAAATTGAAAGGGTTATATTGTCACTTCTAAAAATATATCCCTTTCAATTTAAATCTAAAGAAATGAACTTTAAACGTTCAAGCCAGTCTCGGATATACCTACACAGTAGGTTGAATGGACTGACGCCTATCAGAAAACAACTACTCCCCTGGCTAATACCACGAAGGGCGTTGGATTATATCCGAAAGGCGTCAGTGCAGGAATCTTCACAGAAAATTTCCTGCATATGCAATTGGCAATACAACTGAAAGAG